GAATAACACTTCTGTTTACTTCTGTTTGTTATTTTAAAATTCTCACTCTTTATCTGAAAATTATGTTAATTCATCATTGACAACAGTCATTCCAGATCTTGGAAGTGCTTCCTGATTCAAAGAAGAAACAAGGAGTTGTAAGCAAAACTCATATTTTCTTTTTGCATAGAATTCTAGTTCTACAGATCTATTGTTGTTGTTGTTGTTGTTGTTGTTGTTATTGTTATTGTCATCATTGGTTAATTTTTGTGAAGAACTTTTTACACAAGTACAAATTTTGTCTGTGTTAATTTGTCAGATTTAACCTCAAAGTGTTGAACTGCATCCGTGTTTGTAATTGCTGATTTTGAAACACTATTTCATATATAATTTGTAGGTATGTTATGATTCATCTACATACCAGACTTCATATGCCTCACCCCCTTGGTTCATTAGTTATAACCACTGAACTGAAGGATAAAAAGAATTTTGCACAGCCATCATATAGTAAAATAATTTTTGGACATAACAGTTTTAGTTGTAAATTGCCTCAGATTTATCAGGGCAGTACTCATTTCCCTGTTCACATTTTTAGTTTAATCAGAATAAGAACACCAAAAATACTGTCATGCATTGGCAATGCAACATCACAAATGTTGTAGCTAATTTTATTTTGTTTGAAAGACTAATACCCCATAAGACCCCATACGGGGTCTTTAGTCGTTTAAAGGTTTTGTACTTCATTGCCTTTAAATGCCCATTCTGTTAAGAGGTATGGCCTGGTTTGTAATTCTTGAGATCAGTAGTAATAGTAGCAACAGCAAAAGCAGCCCTACACCCATGTATTGGTATGTCAGTAATGTCCACTAGCAGTTCAGTAAGTATAGGACAAGGATACCCTTTAATGTTTGTCCACAGAAGCAATGGATTTGAGCACTAAACTCAGGAAAACCTCAAATGAAGGGAACAGTGTTGGGCTAATGAGCCTAGGACTACAGGAACGTAAATGTATTTTCAAATGGAGGCAGTCAACACAACAATAAGATGAAATAGATTCTAACATCAACATTTATTTCTTCAGTTCTTATTGCAGCATGTTTCAAACACTCTTTTTAGGTCATCCTCAGGCAATACACAACCAATAGCATAAGTCCATGAACTGTGTTCACAGTTCACTGTGAACACACTATTGGTTGTGTATTGCCTGAGGAGACCTAAAAAAAGGTTGAAACATATTAGAGTAAGAACTGCACAAATAAACAAATGTTGATATGTTAGTATCTATTTTGTCTTATTGATTATTATTGTTATTGTTGTGTTGACTGCTCAATTTGAAAGTATGTTAAGACACACAACAGGATGCATGCTTTGAATGTTATGAATGTAAATGTTATGTGTGGGGGTTAGGTAAAAGTAAAGTTGCCCCTGTGCTTAGCTAATTAAGCACTATACCATGAAGGTGTAGGGGGGAGTGGATGCATAAATCCACATTTACTTGACCTTGGCACTAGCTGGAGGTGGGTGTTCAGCTTCATGCACCGGCCGCTTTACCCCTGGGGAAAGAGTTCCCAGTACCAATTGAATAGTAGGTTGGGCAGACACCAGAGCCTGTCTGGACGACATGGAGAATAGAAAATTCTTGATCCTACTGGGACTCAAACTCCAACCCCTTGATCGTCCATCCCATAGTCAGTTGCTATACTGATTACACTATTCCGGCTCCTATATGTGGCAGGGGAGACTTTTTATTCGTGGGATTCTTCTGTAATTGTTCATGAAGTGATTTACTGAAACTGAAATGTTAAATAGAGGAGAACATCAAACTGAAAGTGGGTATTGCACTGTAATTGTTCTTAAAGCAGTTTACAAAAACTAAATATTTTGTAGGAGAAACCCTATTATACCATTGATCTCATTTGAGAATCGGCTTCCCTATGACACATCTCTCATTAGATACAATCTGGGCATCATACATTAACCCACTGACATACTACTTCATTTAGTCCATTCAAAATCTATTCAAAATTAATTCTGAAATTTCAAAACGTTATTTATCATAACACTTCTGTACAGAAACTACATGGGAAACAAAACCATGTGATGATTTGAGGCATACAGATGGTTGTGTAAATAATTAAATATGTGATGACTGTAGTACGTGTGTTTCTGTTAAGATATTTCAGTTTACATATTGAAATCATAATTATGGCAAATTATGAGTAACATATATTGTAAAACGTTTCATAAAATTGAGTTCAATTTCTTTTATTTTCCATATTTTTCATCAAAAATTAAAGATTAAAATGTAGTGAACTGTAATTTTGTCTGTTGTTTTGTATGGATAAGAGATTGTGCTCATTCTCACCCCCTCCTCCCACCACCTGGCCATTTACGAACATGATGCTGAAGGAAGGAGGAAATTTCTTGAGCAGCTAAATGTCTTTTCAGCTGCTCTGCTACTGCAGATTTAATTATGTAATGACAGCAGGAACCTCAGAATTTTGAGGGAACTGAGTGAAACTGTGTTGTCGGTTCAGATGAAACCACTTATACAATTTTCAATTTAACTTAAAATTTCCTTGAGCATTTAACATATTTTTACTAGAGTTTAAAAGTCTTTTAGTTGTGAGCAAAATTTATGAAGCACATTTGCTACATCTATAACTACTTATACTCTCTCTTTATGTTGAATGACCTCCAGTAATAAGTTTTAGAAATGTTATCTGAATATTATTGCACGATTCCTGATGCTTCTGAATTTATGAAAGTAATATTCTTAAAATGACTATTGTCTTGTGCTAGGAGGATACCATAGTGTATTCATGTAAGACTGTACTGGGATTTGCTTATTCAGTGTATGTTTTCAATCTGGATACTATAACTAAGTATAGCGTTTCACCTAAATCTAATATAAACTATATTGTCTAATATTGTTATTTTTCACTATAACAAATGAAGCATTCTCTTCTTCATGCATCTACTCTCAACTAACATATCTACAGTTAGTATTATTGCTATTAGTGTCCGTGGCGTGTGCAAGTTTGTACGAGACATCAGATGCCCACTCGCATATTGCTTGTGCTGGATCAGCAAGCAGTAGTGTTTGTGCTTCCATTGGCTTTATTAAAGTAGCTCTAAGGGAGGAAAAATTTGTAAACAAACTTGTTACAAAGAAAGAGGATCCTTTAATTTTGTAATCTTACTGACAAATATATTCCTAGCATTTGATGAGAAAGTACTTATGTAACTCCATTCCAAAGAACACATATTTCAACATATTACATATAGGAAATAGGGACACAAATGCATACAAAATCCCTGCCAGAATTATAGCTTAAGAGATTTTGTTTCATGTAATAGAATTTGGGGAAAATCCTATTCCATGAAGTTTAATAAATATGTACCTAGTGCTTCAAATGAAGTCTCTCGAATGGAAGTTCTTTGTTACCTTCTAAAATTATTTTGATTGAGTGGTGAAAGGGAGCAACTACCCTCACCAATTTTATATGACAGCATTACTGGACTTTGTAAACCACTGGGAACAAATTACATCTATGAACATGCACTTTTCCCTTTGCATGCATATAAATTTGCAAGCTCCTGACAGAATTATCTATAAGGAATGACAAACACTTGCAATTCTTGTCTCACCACTGCTTCTTATGTAGTCTTTAGTAGCTGTTTGTCTTTACAAAATATCCATAGGAGTCCTTAGAGATTTAATACACAATTAAGACAACCTCAGTAGACAAGGTTTCTGATAAGAGTGTTTAAAGTAACAGATGTACATAGGTCAGATGAAAAGTAGTGGCAACACCTCTATAGTTCTGAAATGACTTTATTTCCCAAGGTAAACACACCTATATTCCTTCAATATAATCACCCCCCATGTGTTCCACCTTCTGACAAATTTTTGGAAGGCGTCATACACCATCAGCGCGTCCACTTCTGTTGATGTCCAGGAGTGACCACCCTACAGCATGAATAATCTCCTCTCCTGTGTTGTAACGTGTCCCTTGCAGTCGTTCTTTCATTTTGGCAAAGAGATCATAATCTCACAGACTCGTATCGGGTGTATATGGTGGATGTTGCAGTATCTGCCATCGCCAGCGATGAAGGAGATCCTTGACAGCGTCAGCAGTATGAGCCCTTGCATTGTCATGAAAGATGATGGAGTTCGTTGCCAACAACTGTTGTCGCTTTCTCCTGAGTGCTGGACGATGATGATTACGCAGGAAATTGCAGTAGTAGGCAGTGTTTACTGTCTGTCATTGAGGTACAGTGTGGAGCAGTATCACTCCATCAGTGTCATATGCCACAATGAACATTGCTTCACATTACTCTGTGTAGGGCGCACTTTCTTTGGACTAGGAGAGCCAGGATGCTTCGATTCATTTGATTGTCACTTCAAGTGCGGTTTGTATGAGCGAGCCCAAGTTTCGTCCAGAGTGACAATCCTTCCAAGGAAGTCATCACCTTCCCTCTGGTACCGGTCCAACAAGTCCTGTGCAATTGCATAATGTTGCCATTGTTGCACCTCGGACATTGTATGGAGTGCCCAACGTGCTGCACTTTTGCGATATCCAAAAATATCATGCAAAATCTGGAGCACAGTTTTGTGACATATGTCTACCTCAGCAGCTAACTCCTGTCTAGCCCATTGATGATCGACATCCAGCAAAGAAACAAGAAGCTGAATTGTGTGGTTGTCAACATGGAGTCGTCCTGAACGGCATCCCTCCCTTCACGGAACAATTTCACCCTTCATGCCTTTGTGCGATATGGCAAAGCAGCATCACCACATGCTTCTCGCAGTCCCTGATAACAGTTTTGTGCACTACGACCTTGTGCAACTTCAGTTTTTATCCAGGGTTCTTGTTTCGTAAACATGTTGTTAGGGTGCTTGAACTGGGCTTCTGCACTTCAAGACGATGCACAATGCAACCCAATGAAACACAACCAGACCCACTCACTGCACTATTTCAACTGAACTTCTGCTATCAGCTACAGACGGTGCTAGTGCCACCTGACGCACATCTTTCATGTTACAGCAGTGTTGCCACTACTTTTTATCCAACCCTTATATATATCCCCCCCACCCCTGAAGGGGAGCACATTTGTTTCAGTACTTTAAAACATTTTTACAAAGTCTCTTATTTATGTATATACACCTGAGAAAATATGTAGTCCTAGCTTGAAGTAAAATACACAAAAGGAAAGTTAGTTTGCTGTTTTGCACAGTCACGAGTGTGTCACTTTAGTCTTCATTAGCACATATACAGACACAGATATATGGAAATAAAACAACAGATTCAGGCTATGAATGTGCTTTGAAGACTGTCTGCACAGAGGGTACTTCCAGAATAGCAATGGAAATTGATGGTAGCTTTAAATTACATACTGTTACTGCCTCGTCATACCATCTCTCGCGGAGTGGGGGAGAGCAGTCTTGTCAGCCTATGTCAGCGTGGGTACTACCAGTTTGGAATGTAGCGTCTTGGAGTGTGGTCAGGTGTATAGTACTACTCCTGGTCTCCATAGGCAATGTTTTCCACTTGGGGAGTAGCTCTGAATGGCCCCACAGCAAGGGTATAGCTTCGCATGCCCCACAACAGTGTTTGCCTTTCCGGGCGGCTAAAGTTACCAGGCAGTAACAGTACTAACCATTAATTTCCATTCCGAACTTTAATCTATGTGGGCATTATTTTGAAATGTATAAGAAGCCCCTATATTTAAATTCCAAAAATTTACAGCCTATTTTTGAAGTATTTCTAAACATGTTTTCAGAGTATGTACTCCAGACTACATCCATTGCTTGAAGTTTCATTGTTCACTGTCTTCATATTTGCAAAATAATAAATTTTGCCTGTAAGAAGAAAATGTTTGAATTATTCAAATTGGTTCTCACTTTGAATGATGTACTAGAACATTATTATGTCTTTAATGCACTATAATTTGCTATATGGCTCATGCCTTGGATGTCATTGCCAGTTATACTGATTAATGGTCAAGCACTCTACATGGTAATTCCTTGAGAAATAGTAGGAAAATGTAAAAAATAATTAATGTTATTGAGTACTTGGATTTGTGATAATGTTCATTGTCAAATAGATATGAAGTGAAAACAAATTTTTGGTCATATCTCATGCTATTCAGGGTGCCAGGGGAAGTTACATGGAAGGCTGAAGCGTGTGTTTACATTAATTACAAGGCTTATCATGACAGAGAGTTCATTTGCAAATTTTCTCTCATGCAAGAGGAAAAAAGAACATCATGCAGAAAGAAAGAATGAAATTTTTTAATGCCACAGTTACAACCTTTTTTGGTCAGTATTTATGCATTTACAGCAGATGCTCAAAATGAGAACCATTTATTATGATGACCACCTGTGTCTCAGTATACTGCATGCTGCACAAGATCAACAATCTGGGTAGAGGCATACACTGCTGCAAGTGTCCCCAGAAGAAAAATTCTAGTGGATTGGCTCAGCATTCAACCATTCTGTAAATATCACCCACAAATTTTCTTGAATATTTGCCTATGAGTATATACCCCCAGAGTACCAGCCCACATTCCCAGCATTCTGTAAAACTTGAAGGTTCATTACTATATTAACAAGAGCCAACTACTAGTTACTGTCCAGAGCCAGATGAATCCAGTCCACACATTCCCATCCTATTTTTATGAGTTTGTTGTTACTATTATTCTCCTATTTGTGCCCTAGGTATTCCAAGTGGCACTTCTTCGGATTTCTATATCAAAACATTGTATGCATGTCTCTTTTTCTTCCATATGTGCTATATGCCTTGTCCACCTAATTCTTTATTAGATCGTCCTAATAATATCTGGCGATGAGTGAAAATTTTGATGCTCCTCATTATGTAATTTTCTCCAGATTCCTAATACTGCTTTTCTCTTAGGTCCAACTACTTTCTCAGCATCCTGCTCTCAAATGCAGTCAGTGTTTTTCCCTTAATGTGAGAGACCACACTTCACACACATACAAAACAACATGCAAAATTATAGTTGTAATTTTAGTTTATAGTTTAATTTCTACAATCTTAAATAAAAGATGGAAAGCCGCAAGATTCTGAACTGAATGGCAGCAAATATTTGAACTCACATGTTGACATTAAAGTGTACTTGGTATGCCCATGCACATTTAGCATTTTCACTCAATGCTGCCTATAAATAAGTACTGTAACCATTGCGGTGCTGTGTAATGTATAGACTTTACAAATTGGAGTAACATAAACTCAGTAAACACACACCCCACCTGAATGTGCAACTTCTCCATTTGCCTTCAATCACAATATCTTTTCATAATAATCTGGCTATGTTATATATTTTTTGTACAGTTCTTTCTCAAGGAATCACTCTGTGAAGAGATTATATATAAATTTGATATGCATAAATTTAAATAGAGCAAATTGTCGTACAAGAACAGAACTGTAGCAACAAATTCCAAACAGCAGCACTATTTGAACAGTAATAGTGCAGTTTTCTGAGATGAAACAGGTAAATATTTTGAGCATCACAATGTGATGTATGTACAGAAAACAAATAAGTTCATGTGTTTCCATGACTGATACATTTGTCTTTCAAAATAATTTTGGTTAATATTTTTACAGATTTTTTTTTATGTAACAGTGATACTAATCCTCACAGAAGATCTACAATGAAGAAAACAGTAAGTGGTCTGCACAATACACGGATATGTGTCTAAATTATTAAATGCAGTGTGAAGATTATCATGCACAGTTGTGAATGTTTAGTAAGAAAGATTTTTTCAAATGGAAGTGAGATATAAAACCACTGAAGCAGTGATGAACATTAGAAAAAGTGAGAAACGACTTGTATCACCTTCTTGCCTATCTCTTCCCCAGACTTGTTGAGCACATATCTGTCACAGCCGTGTGGTTCGGTTGTAGCAGCTAGGGAAATGAAACATTTAGGAGTCAATCTCGGCTGCATACAACTAACTGGAAGCTGAGGCAAAGCAAATACTATACATCCAAATGCAAGTTCTACAACTCTAAAAGAAATGACAGTTCTAACTAAATCATTCTATATCCCTATGAAGACTCACATACATATTGCTCTGTTAATCACACTACTGATGAATTACTACATTTCATTAATTTAAAATACTCTAAAGGATCATTCTAAATGACAGCGAAATGAAGTTTGGCTAAGATCAAGGTAAATGAGTGGCTGCTTATTTGGAATTACAGTCCCATTATTCTTTTGAAGTGATTGAGAGAGCCATAAAGGATTTGGTAATGAAATTAATTTTGAAATCTATTTCTTGTGACAGAATTGAATGTTCACATACATTTAACAATGTATTATGCATAACTGCAAACATTATTGACAGTTAATTTTTAATGTGTTTTTCCTTGAAAGTAGAGTTCCATCATGCTGAAGAATCAGTTGAGAAAACAGATCAAGAACTGGCATAAAATAAAATTTAAGAAATTTATTGAAGTACATTTAGTAGTAAATTATTCTTTTATGCTATACATGGAAGTATAACATATATTAATTCTAGAATTTCAGAAATGACTTTATGGGATGAGGTGGCTCTGAGAGTGGAGATAATGAATATGTTTTAATACTTGTTAGCAAGCTTTGTAAGGAGTTTTAGAATTTTTGTACTTTTCTGGTGACTTTTTTATATGCTTAATGAAATTTGCTATTCAGTATAGATCTTATTTTTGTGCAGCTTGTGGAAATCTGACATATGATATGATATCTGAAGTTTCTTTCAATGTAAATTTCATTTGTACCCCTACTCACAGCCAGAGCTCTAGAATATGTCATTTACGTCTTATGTATGGAAAGCCATTAGTCCACATGAGAATAAAAGAAGTAGAGAAATTTATGCGTAAACAAGGTTACCACACTACCTCAAGCTCAACAGTTCTTAATGGATGTTGTATTTGTAAGAGAAACATGTAGATAAATCAGTTACATTTGAACATTTTCACCACATATCCCACAATCCAATGAAATATTAGGAATATACAAGTTTCAAAAAGATTTGTGCAGGCATTTGAAAGTTAATAGGGGGATACACAAACACACAGGAGGCAAAAAAAAAAAAAATCAGAAAGTGAGAAAACTGGTCAAATGAGAGATACCATAAGAACTATCAAGTTCTTTTGTCATACCCTTGACTTCTCACCAGACATTTGGAGTGTCAATTGTGTGAACAGGATACTGACTGTTTATAGAAGCAGCAACATGCTGGCTGAATGAACTGTCAGTTTTAAAGGATGGGGGTTTGAAACATCTTCCCATGCAACTTCTACAGTGTTTTCTCCAGAACTTTTATGTAGCTTCCAGGAATTCAGCCATACTTGATTCTGTAAAATGTTCAATTATATCATCGTAAGACAGAAACAAATGTCCTCAGCACTGCTGTCTTATTCATCTTGCAATTACTCATCTCTGTATTTGCTAGAATGGATCGTTTGCTGGGGTATGATCTTCAGACCACGCACAATCCAAGACACTAGAAACACAGTTTTCATCCCTTCATTAAATGTTATCACACTCAGAACCACTTTTTTCAATTTTGTGTCATTTTGTTTGGACTGTTCCTTACAAACAGTCAAAGAATGAATGTTCTCTCTGGCTTGTATGGTGTAACTGGACATGAAATCACAGCACCTTGAACACCACAAGTTAGGACTGTCGTATATGAGAAAAACCAATAATGTTACAAAGGGTTTGTACTGAACATTTTTATGCAGTGCTAATTTGTTAATCTCAAGCTGGCTTTCTAAGACCATTCCTTATATTTTTGACTACCCTGTTTCTGAAACTTAAAGATGGCCCAAGGGATCCATTCGTCATGGGGCATGAAGGGATTATACAGGTGAAAATGAACTGAACTGACAGATATATCATAATGTCCAGTAACATGAACATCAGTCAGTAAAACTTCAGTCTGATGCTGCTGCATCTTGTGTAAGTTTGGTTGGAAAGATAAAAGAATTACCCACAATTTCAATATATCTGCAGGAACAAATTTTGGATGAATGTTGCTGCAGAAAATTCTTTCAACAGATTCAGGTTGTTCTGTCACCATAAATATACAGTTAGTATATATGAATTATTAGCAGATATTTTATTACCCTGATGAAACTCAGGTTGTAACTTGACTTTAAGCTTCAATGAAGTGCTTACCTTTCAAGAAAAGAATGTGACCTAGCCACAAATATGTATGTAATATGAGATTTGAGGTTTTTATGGCTCTGAATATTTATATTGAGGTCTTCTCATTTATGTCACTATCATCTTGTAAATTGTAATCTTTGTTTTGAAGGAACGCACTGCCTCCATCTACCTTGAAAATGAAGGCATTATGATCCTCTGAAACATTAATTACCTACCCGACTAAATTTCGTCATAGACAGAAGACCACAACATCAAATGCACTTGTATATCATCTACAATCTACAATGAAACTATTTTATAATATTGTATCATATACTAAGACACTCATCACCTAAAGTGTTATTCTATTCAGCTTAGATAAGAACATCGCAAATATGTTTAAAAATCACAACAAATAACTGCATTGTGAAATTAGATTAATAAAATGTAGATCATATGTATATTCTGGCCCTAATCTACTTCACTCAATTCTAGTCTAGATTCAGGGTGAATGTTCTACGCTAAATTCAAAGCAACACTTCTTCAGTCCATTTACTACTTACTAAAATTCTCACTTTGTTGTCAAGCTAAAATCATGCTGCTAACACATTGGTTATAATTATTGCTAATAGTTTGATGAAATTAATTTTACGTCTATGAGGTCTGACAATTGAATAACCAGACAAATTCTGTAAAGGAGAACATATATTGCCACTAACCTTTTAATGAATGTGGTCACCTTCAGCATACCTGCCTTTTGATCTTATACGCATCTTCCAATATCTCTCCTGTGCCTGGAATTCATTTTCCAATAATTGCTTTCAGTACTATCTTGACATTGCTCTGAATGTATTAACATGGCCCAAAATGCAACCTTTTCCAGAAGAGTTTTACATTTAGGCACTTTAAAAATTCCATTTTGGACAAATCAGATATGTGTAGTATATATTCCATCATTGGTACTTGATTTCTTTGGCCAAAATTTGCTTTACTGGAAGTGTAATACAGGAAGATGCATTGTCATGTTGTGTGAAATCTGTTTTGTAACCAGTCATCTTGTTTCTTTCAATGAGTGTACTACCACAAACATATCAAAACTTGATGGTAGTATGCTTGGTTGCCTATTAATTTTGGAGCAACAAATTCTAAATTGATGATTCCTTTGGATATCAAAGAGGCAGATCAGACTGCTCTTGACTTTCGATTTGGACATCTATGGCTTTCTTCTTTTCTGCCCCTCTCTTTTATTTGGGGGCAAGGTTGGGTGGTGTCTTAGAGACTCTGTACCTTTCTACGTGTATTTCAGACTTTACTGTTCAGCTTCCTGGTTATACTGGAAGACCCAAGTTTCATCACCATTCACAATCTCCCCCCTCCCCCTCTCCAGTTTTCTCTAACAATGTTGCTGAAAGGTCTGAGCAAAATCCTCTTCCCATCATGTCTTTGGTAGCCACTGCAATTTGTTCCTAGAATTTTGGCACATTTTTTTCTCACATTTGCTCTCTTCTGAACAATCATTTATAATTTCCTACAATTTCTGTTACTCCTTCCACCTTGAAATACTTAACCATAACTAAAGGTTGTGTTCTACTGAAAGTTTGATGTTCATAAATTTGCTGCGACATTTTATAAATATCAGTGGTATTTTTCTCCATTTTTAGTAAAATTGTAATGTTGATTTTCTGTTCTGACAAATCATGACAAACTGACAAACTGAATCCCAGTAATTGATGATAAAAAACTGCTGAACCATGTAGTCATGTGCTCCAACATGTACCAGTTGCTGCAAAATGACATCAGTCCATTTATTTAATTGTCTGACCTCATAACCACTCATGTACTTTAGCAGTAATTAAAATGGCTTTGCTCAAATTGTATGGAACAAGCCAAAATAGTACCCCAGTACCCTGAAAAGGAGACTTAGAGTATACTGGTGTTCATTCATTAAATATTTTATAATTTTTTTATTCATTGATAATAAGTTGCATGAAATATATGTTATTTTGTCTTTAAAAGTATTATTGTAATTAATCATGAAGAAAATCATCTCAAAATCTGTTAAAAAGCATGTGCTATTTGTGAGTGATTTTGTCATTCAAGAATAGAGATCCTATTCAGAAAATTCATTAAGCAAGATGTATTGTCTGCTCCACCTCTTGTTTATTTGATTACACCTTTTCAGTTATATAGGGTATATCAAGTCAGTTGGAAGAATTCCTGGAAATGGTCAATTTAGTAGAATGTGGAAGGAAGTAGCTGTAGCTTGTTTTAAAGAACTATCCCACTGTATACCTGGTAACTCTGAGAGCAACCACAAAAGAATCTCAGTCAAGACAGACAGTCCCCTTCTAGCAATGAAATCCAGAACTTCCTTTTTCAAAGTCAAAATTATAACCACTTAACAATGATATTTTGTACCGTACCTCTTCCATGTGTAAAAGCACGCATATGTGTGTGTGTGTTTTTGTAACGTCTAACTGCCAAGAACTGGCAATTCCTTGAATGATGTTGAAACAAAAGAAACATGACAAGATGGGAGAAGGCAGTTTTCTGAGGATCAGGAGCAAACCACAAGTAAAATTAAATTGTAGGACCAGAGATATTGAAAGCTCAGCTCAGTATAATGTACAGTGATTGTGTTAACTTGCATAGAAGTAACAATTCTAATTAAATTTTGGGTATATCATGAATTATGCTTGCTTTATGCCATGTTGTTTAAATATGTTAATTCCTTACACGTTTTCTGTAACACTTGCTTTGGATCCAAATAAGTAAAATTGGGCCTATTATATGAAATTAACAGAACTTTATTAGCCAGGACTGAAGAAACAGCGTGAGAAGTCTCAGTTTGATTAAATGGCTTCCTTAAAGTGAACACAGATAGTCAAAATTTGAGTACACATGCTAGATGTGAACTACTGTGTTAAGTGTTTTAAAACAGATCAAGAATTGAAAATAAAGGTAGAAATGTCTCTTTGCTTAATTCATACCATACCATGAGCACATGTGGGGAACTGGAGGTCACTCTGTGAAGAACATTATGTATGTGATCTATGTGATGCAGCTAGCAAGAATTATTCACTAATAATTATGCTATTTAATGATCCATTTCCATGCAATTCTTACTAGTACAAATTCCATCTATATTAAATTTGAGTCATATGACCTCAAATATTTTCACCATCACTATGTTATTGTTTTTGATGTACACAGATATTTTTCCAGAATATGTAGGTATGTTTATGATGTATTTCCATGCAACATTTCTCATGCCTAGCTCCAAAGATTCATTAATTACTAATATGAAACAAGAAGCTCTTAATTCCATATAATAGGCCCACTCTTACATATTCATAACCACAACAAACATAGCAGAATAATAATATTGTGGCAGCCACCATATTATGGTTTCACATTATAAAAAGCCTACCCCAACAAAAGTGAAATACATATAAAAGGTTTATTAGTTCACAAAATTTAAGGACCCTTCATTAAGTGGTACTAGTATTCCTTCCACCTCAGAAATTTGTGCAGTCACCAGATGGATATTAGTATTGGCAGGAAATTAAAGAATACAAGGATGAAGTAAGGCAGCCTGACCTGAGGTGAAACATATGCATTTACACTGGTGGAAAGAAACTAATCTTAAAAATAATTTCGCTTAGCCACCCACCACAAACTTGGAAGTCCAGCATATAAATCAGAGTTTTACTTACTTATTAACATATCTATGAATACAAACAAGATGGAGTATGCCCTATAGCCTAGCGCACAACTTCTACACTGGAACCTATATGGTACCATGGAAGAAAGCATATATGACCTCAGTAATGCCTGCTTATGACTTCTTGCAGTTACTGGGTTGCTAGTTGTCACGTGGCAGTTGTCTTGTAATGTTTGTTGTATATATATTTAATTAACCAGTTGATTGTTGCAGTATACATGAACCCAGTTGATCTGTGTCTTAGAAAAGCCAGAGATATAGATAAAATGGCATATGGATGATCATTATGCATTCACAGGGTCCCCCTTTTCCTTCAAACAGCCTTAATTTGTCTGTAAATTGTATTAATTTTGCAGCTCATGTTTTTATTTCTGTTTCATAACTGTGAGTATTTGAATATCATCATACCTGTGTCTTTGTCATGTCTCACAATTGTTAGATTTAGACACATTTACCTTTCCAGCAATCTTCTTTTAAGCTCTGGTGGATACGTCACATAAATATAATGCTCATTCTGCCCCATGTCATTGAGATCTGGCACTGTGTAATATTCTTCAGAATAGCAGGGTCCACTGTTGGTGGAGTTCACATGGTGAACTGGAGATGATGTGGCAGTGGCAGTAGTACTTGTACTAGCAATGCTCATGTCATCTGAGCTGAAACAAAATATTTATTTATTTTCTTCCTCCAAAGACCGTTTGTCAGTCTTTACATCACAGAGATACAAGAAGGTCCAGGAAACTTCAAAATTTTAAACTGAATAACTAAGCTGTGTATATAATTAAATGACAAAGAAATTATATTTGGCATCTGGAGCTTATGAAATGTGTGCATAGATCTGTATACAGACAATTGAAATTATAATATTTAATGCTGTAATCAAGATTGGTCATATCTTACGCAGTAAGTGCCTTCTAAAAGAAGTTATTGAAGGAAAGATAGAATGACCAGAAGATGAGGAAGAAGACGTAAGAAGATGCTGGATGACCTTGGGGACAGAAGAGGATATTCTCATTTGAAGGAGAAGCTCTAGAGTGCATTAAGTGGAGGAACTGTTTTGGAAGAGACTGTGGACCTGTCATCTGACCGTTTACTGATGAATGAATCAAGTTTAAACAAAGTAGCCCAGTCTTCTTAATGAGGTCCAGGAGTCCACTTGTTATGCTTTTGTGTGGTATTCCTTTTCAGTAATAACAGTTTCAAAGGAGTTATATCACTTGTGAGGCAGAATTTTGTAATTGAATTTAATGTGGGAGGATGTTGCTTCCTTTATGCTCCATAAAATATGTGTATCAGAAATGTGATTAAATTCATGGATCACACATACATATGTAATTATGATAATGACTTATTCCTGCTCTATCACAATACTCCTTTCTCTGTAGAGAAAATGTTTTTTTGCTTTTCTGATTTTACCTGACATTCTCTAATTCTCTTGCTCCTGATTTCAGTGGAACTTCCCTTTAGAGGCTCATGGCATTTCCAAATCTTATGTTCTTTACCAGTTTCTTAGGTCATGCCAAAAAAACGTCATCCAAGTTCAGCAGCCTTTGTGATATTTGTAACGAATAGACATGCTACTGGGACTGATTCAGCTAATCATACAAAATATATGAATCAAGCCTTTATTAGACCATTCCATAAAATTCACTTAAATCAGACTATGTATAAGGAAATTGAAAGTGTAATTGGGTCCTTTAAACCCAAATCCTCTAATGGATATGATGAGATCTCGGTTAAAATTTTAAAATGCAGTGCACCATTTATTAGTTCTCCACTAGCCTATATTTGTAACAGAGCCTTTGTAACTGGTGTTTTTCCCACCAGATTAAAATATTCAGTAATAAAGCCATTATTCAAAAATGGAGATAAAACCAATATGTCTAATTACAGACCGATATCATTAATGACATCTTTCTCCAAAGTTTTTGAAAAGATTATTTATATAAGAATGCACCGACATGTACTTAATAATAATATACTAGCTAAAGATCAGTATGGTTTTAGGAGTAAATCATCGACTGAAATAGCCACGTATGAACTAGTTAATGAAGTATTAAATGCTTTGAACAGTGGTATGTTTGTTGGTGGTATCTTTTGTGATCTCAAAAAGGCCTTTGATTGTGTTAATCACGATATATTACTATCGAAATTGGAATTTTACGGCGTGGCTGATAAGGCTGGTGCTTTGATTAAGTCGTACCTTGCTGATAGGCATCAGAGAGTTATTGTGAATAACGGAATGAGGTACTCAGAATGGTGGGAAATTAAAAACGGAGTCCCCCAAGGTTCAGTTCTGGGTCCTTTGTTGTTTTTGTTGTATATAAATGACTTGCCCTATATCATATCGAACAAGTCCAAACCCGTTATTTTTGCTGATGATACTAGCATAGTCATTACTAACCCTAGGTCTGCTGATTATGAATTCAAGGCTTCTTTAATATTTAAAAACATAAATGATTGGTTTCAAGATAATTTATTGTCATTAAATTTTGAGAAAACACATTTTATCGAATTTCTGACTAAGAACTGCCAGCCGATGGATATTCATATTGAGGATGATGATGATCGGATTGTTAACACTACAAATACTAAGTTTCTGGGGCTTATTATTGATAACACATTGTCTTGGAATGGACATGTGGATTGGTTAATGTCTAGATTGGGCTCCGCATGTTATGCGATTAGAGCCCTAAAATCTTACATGTCTCAGGGTACATTAAGAATGATTTACCTTTCTTACTTCCATTCAATTATGACCTATGGTTTGGTTTTTTGGGGTAATTCCCCTTATAGTATTCATATCTTTAGGTTGCAAAAAAAGGGCGATTAGAATTATAATGAACACTGGGAACAGAGATTCATGTAGGGAATTGTTCAGGGAACAGGAAATTTTACCCCTTCAATCTCAGTATATATTTTCTCTTACAATGTTTGTGGTTAATAATAAAGATCTTTTTAAGTTAAATTCTGAGTTATATAATAGGAATACAAGATATAATAATAAATTCCATTATCCTACATGTAAGTTGATTGTATTTCAGAAAGGAGTGTATTACCATGGTATTAAGGTTTTTAATTGGCTTCCTCCTAATATAAGGAACCTGGCTCAAGATGTCAAACATTTTAAAATTGTTTTAAGAAGATTTTTGTTGATGAACTCGTTTTATTCTTTGGAAGAATACTTTGATTGTAAATTTGACTCCAATAATCAACTGTGATAATGGTATTGAATGTCTTATATTGTTATTTATATTATTATTTCTATGTAGTGTTATTTGTATTATCAATGACTAAATCCTTATCCTATATGTAGTGGATTTATGGAATGTAAATAAATGATGATGATGATGATGATGATGATGATGATGATGATGATGAACATGCAAGTTTTTCATGATTGAGATTTAGCCCCATGCCCAACCTCTGAGCTGAAGGAATAGATATTTCATACCTGCTGTAGTTTTCCTTACAGAAGACAAATCTATAAGTCTGTGAATCTTTGAGTATGACATACGGGTGCCTGCTTTGATTAACTCTGCTAAAATTAAGTTGGTACCTGGAGATTTATAACATTTTAGTTTGTCAATATCAGTTCCATCTTTGTGGGATGTGAGGTTCTCACAGTGGTGACCGTGATTAATAATATAGTGATGCATATGCCCATTGCTAGGAAACAGCTCAGTAAACACATTCCTGAAGCATACACACTCAACAATAGGACATCCATTGCTAGGTAACAGACCAATTAACACGAATTATTCACAACAGAAGAAGGTGTTTGCAGTGGGGTCCATGCCAAGGAGTTATAAGAGGCCACAGTCAAAATAACTGAGGGAGTACAACAGAGTAGTGGAATAGTGAAGTGTGGTTAGAAGCCAAAGAAGATGGCTGTATGTCAGATAATGATATGTGAACTGTTGTAACCAGCTGTATAAAGGTTCAATAAATTTGATCATCAAATCCAAAACCCGTCTCATTAGTCATGCAAACCCCAGATACAAGACAATATCTTCTTGTATATACCACTCTTCTCTGTAGTCAGGTAGAAGTCTGCTGATGTTTCAGGGGGTCAAAGTCTAAGAAAAGCAAGCTTTTTGAAATAGAATCAGATGTATTCACAGTTTGGATAAAACTATTCATGGACTTCCATGAGTCCTGTGGTGTATATGGTAAAATTTACAGTGTGATGCAGAATGTTTAATTTCAGTCCATTTTATTAACAAACAATTGATTTATTGCTACTATATCAGTTTATTATTTGAATTGATAGTAATATTTCTATTATTGTATTATTCAAAATAAAGCAGAGGAACTACTTATGACTTACTCAAAAAGCACCCAAATGATGTAGTAGCATAAACATATTCCAAGAGACAGCACCATCACAAGAACAAAAACCAGACCCCAAGGAAAATGTCTGGTTTCTCCTGGTGTGTCTTCCCAGTAGCGATCACATGTCAGGTACCAACAGACTGCATGGTTTAGTTCCTCTGAGAATACAAAAAATGGATAACAGAATTTTAACATGTAAGTGTAGTGATAATTATAACTTTTTCAAATGTAGCTAATGTCATCCTATGAACTGAGAATTTTTTAAGGCTGTATTTTAGAATTTATACATCAATAAACATACTACACCTTCAACCTCCTTAAAATCCTGAATTGAGAGGTTAACCAGCAAACCAGCTATGCAGTCACGAACCAAAATCTGAAATAGGAGAGGGATACAGGAATATCAACTTTGAAATTTGCTGGGGTTCAATTACTTGAAATAAAAAAAAAAAAAGTAACTTGCCTCACATCGCAACTTAAGCTTCTGAAGCTCTTCAGGCTTGCAATTGGCCTTGAGTTTTTGTAATTCACTAAGGTGTTGCTGTTTGTGATCTGCTGGAGGCAGAGCAGAATCTACCAGATTGCTATTGTCACACATATCTGCTGTCGCATTGTCATCATCACTAGGTGGCTGTATCGGCTGATTGGGTGCAGTCGGCATGTCAGGAGTAGCTGCCCTTGGGCAGTGATGATATTGAGCCTGAGCTGGAGGTGGCTGAGATTGTCTTTCAGGAGGAAACAACCCTCCTCGCAATAAGACACGTGCCAAATCCCGTGGCCCTGATGGTGATAATGCTGTTCGATATGCCGTCGCTTCACTCCAAATTTCTAGATCAGTATTGATGTGAGTTGGGTCTCCCATGATTGGACTCCCTACTTCTTGAGTCATCAACACTTCACACCTCATTATGTCACAGTAATCAGCTAAGCAGACAGCATCTTCAGCCTGAATATCACGAGAGAAAAGAATATAGTAGTGACAGTGTTACCTCTGAAATGTATATTGGTATCTTATAAAACTTTCTACTTTATTCCCTGTTACTGTGGATTACCATGTTGATTTGGTTCTTGTGTCTGTGGTCAAAGTGCATGTCTAGAAATTTCTCCTCATAGAAAGACTTTCCACATATACCACAGGTCCACTGTGAAGGTCGATGCTGCTGCTTGGCAGACTGTTGTGGCCAGTATATATCGCGAATGGGATGAAAAGGGCATTCCACAGGAATCTGGACCTGGTATTTCTCTAACACAGGAACCCATTTCTGGAACAAAAAGTTGCATGCAGAACTTTAAGACTGCTGATATCATTGCAGTTCTTTAAAACGTGAAGTGATAATTTTTTTTTTTTTGGTGTGTTTGGTATTTAATATCCTTCAATTAATGAACTGAAGAACCCATTAGTCCCATAACTACCATGGTGGGTTCTGAGAAATGTATAAAAAATTTTGGTTGGGGAATCATTTTGAAATTAGCCACTTCAAAAGCCAAGAAGGGGATGTGAGAATTACTAGAGATGCCATTCTAAGAATAAAAATGATGGAGCAGTCTGATATACATTAAGTGGTTGAAAGAAGAGAACAAAAATAATGTTATTAGACCATTTCTTTTTTTGTTACTTAATAGTAGTTTTATGCATTTAAATACATAAAGAATTTGACATTTCCAACTCAGAGAGGTCAGAAACTAAAAAATAAAACTATATGCTCTTATGACCATTGTAAGTAAAATCTTTAAGAAAAGTACCCTTAAAGTTCTCAAGTTTGTCCATGAAACAAAATATTCCAAACATAATATTTTTTTTTCCTGTCCAACAAAAGTGTATGTTACTAAGAATCTTCTTTTAACAATTAAATCAGTAACTCTAGTAGCTTCAGAAACTACAGAACGTATCTGACATTATAGGTGACAGTACATGCTGAATCCAAGGCAAGTGCAGGGCTGATAATAGTATTACTGTTAGAATTTCTAATTACTGAAGGACAATTTCTTAAAGAATATTTTAAATCACTGCAAATTATCATTTAAATGGAAAAACTGAATCTTTCAGCAAAATATTATGTTTATTTAATGGGAAGTGTGGTGTTGTTTAAAAAGGGTATATAATTTGAAATACTGGAAAATAAGATTTAATTTTCTTCTGCAGATCTCAGCAATTGCCCTCATTTCCAAACACGTAAGTGATTATGCTCCTGTGCCCTGACTGACTCTTATTTAGTTGTGTTTGTAATAAATTATGTAAGTAAGAAATATTATTAATAGAGCACACAATTTCAAAATGTGTATAATTTTCTATGCTACATGTCTTTTATTTGAGGGATGGAATCTCATCCACTTGTCCTTAGACCGTGATGCCTACATTTGACATCACTGTTCCATGCACAGATGGTGCCAGACACAGATGGCGCCCTGGCACCCAGAAAGCACTGGAGTACCACCCTGAACCACACTGGCTCAACTGCAGCTCTAAGGATAACAGTATGTCTTTGCCACTATTTAAACTCAATGTCAGATGACTGATTTAAAATAAAGTTGCATATTACATGTACATCATCATCATCATCAGTAATCTGTCAAGACGACAGGTCCACAGTCTCTTTCAAAACAATTCCTCCACTTAATGCGATCTAGAGCTTTCTCCTTCAAATGACAGTATCCTCTTCTGTCCCCAAGGTCATCCAGCATCTTCTTACGTCTTCTTCCTCGTCTTCTTGTCACTTCTATCCGCCCATCTATCTTTCCTTCGATAGCTTCTTTTAGAAGGCAGTTTCTGCGTAAAACATGACCAATCCAATTAGCCTTCCGTTTTCTTATTTCATGTAGGATATTCCTCTGCTCACTGACTCTAATTAACACTTCTTCATTTCTCACATAATCGGTCCAACTGATCTTCTCCATTCTTCTCCAACACCACATTTCGAAACTTTCCAGATGTTTCTGATCTACTGCCCTAAGTGTCCATGTTTCAGCCCCATACAGAGCTATGCTCCAAATGTAGCATTTCACTAGTTTCTTCCTCAAATTTAAGTCCAATTTGCTGGTAAAAAGATTCTTCTTCTTGCTAAATGCAGCTTTTGCCATGGCAATCCTGGATTTAATTTCACAAGTACACCTTCCATCATCTGTTAACAAGCTACCCAAATATTTAAAACATTTCACATTCTCCACTTGTTTTTGGTCTATCTTTATTGTGACTGGGGTTGGTTGTCTCGAAATTTTCATTACTTTTGTTTTCTCCACATTCATTTCCATGCCATAGCACCTTCCAATTTCAATTAGTCTATCAATCATGCCCTGTAGCACAGTTTCTTCCTTAGCCATTAACACAAGGTCATCTGCATATTTCACAGTTTGAATAATTTGCCCTCCTACTTTGAAGTCACCGAGCCCATCCAGAGCTTCCTTGGTAAGGCATTCGCTGTACAAGTTGAACAGAATTGGTGATAAACAGCATCCTTGTCGAACTCCTCTTCCAATCTGCACACTTCCTGTCTCCCCCCTGTCCAGTCGTACTCTAACTTTCTGATCCATGTACAATTTGCTAATCAATCTTCTTTCATGCCAATCGATACCTGTTTCTTTCAGGATCTGCATTAATTTGGTCCAGTTTACCCGGTCAAATGCCTTCTGCCAGTCTATGAAGCAAACACACAGTTCTTCATCTATCTCCAAAGTTCGTTCCGCTATAATTCTCATCATCCCAATTGCATCCCTGGTTCCTTTTCCTCTTCTAAATCCAAACTGATCTTCTCCAAGTACATCCTCTATTTTCCTTTCAATTCTTCTTTTAAGTATCTTTGCTATTATCTTTGCTGTATGTGCAATAAGACTTATTGTGCGATGGTCGCTGCATTTTGTAGCTTTTGTCTTTTTCTTTAAGGCAATCATTGTAACTTCTGTAAAGTCCTTGGGCCACTCTCCACTTTCATATATGGTGTTCATTAGTTTTGTCAGTGTTTTCAAACCACCTTCTCCCAGTAACTTGAGCACATCTCCAGGTACATCATCATCTCCTGTAGCCTTTCCCTTCCTCATTTCCTTGATAGCTTTTTCCACCTCACTTTGTAAAATATATGGTCCTTTCTCGTCTGTATCTACTTCTTCTTCCGGTTCAACTTCTAAGGTTTCTGGCCGATTAGGTCGATCATATAGTTCTGAAATATAATTTTCCCAAATTTTCAGCACTTGCCTCTGATCTACTATTCTATTCCCCTGGGAGTCTTCGATGCCAACATTTTGAATCCCATGATTCTCTTTCCATCCTAGTTCTTTTGTCTTCATGTACATCAAATCATAACGGCCTGTTCTTTGAAATTCCATAATCTCATTACATATCTTCTCAAGATATTCCTTTTTGGCCCTGTCCGTGGCTCTTTTCAATTCATTCCTCAGTCTCCTGTATTTCCTCCTGCCTTCTTCATTGTTGACATTCTTCCATTTCCTTCGCTCCTCCATTTTACTCATCATCTCCTGTGTAACCCATGGTTTTCTTGCTATCTTCTCAACTTTACCTACCAAATCACTGATAGTATCTAACATGCATTCTTTTATATCGTTCCACTGCGCTTCAGCATTTCCGCTTTCACCTTCAATTGCACCGAGTTTCTCTTCTAGAGTCTCTTGCACGCTTTGTCTTTGAGCATATAACTTCTCCAAATCCCATCTGGGTCTGCGCTTTCGAAATCCTATAATTTTCTTCAACCTGGTTCGGAACTTGGCAACCAGCAAGTTGTGGTCAGAGTCAATGTCTGCCCCAGGAAGCGTCTTCACATCCTTCACACTGTTTCTGAATCGATGTTTCACAAGGATGTAGTCCAGCTGATGCCTCTTCCAATCCCCAGGTGCCTTCCATGTGTAAATTCTTCTCTTTGGCTTCTTGAACCAAGTGTTGGTAACAATCAATCCAGTTCGTTCACAAAAGTCAATTACATGTACATGCTAAATTAAATACTTGTAACTGCATAACATCCAGTACTTAATTTTCTCACTGTGTGAGACATTTGTGCAATGTTTTTGTAACACTCTTGTATTATTGTCAACTGTAGTTTTATATAGATTACAGTACCCTGTAAACCTATACAAATTACTGAAGGGCATCAATCAAAATTTATTCTTCAGTCTAGAAATGAATAGTTGAATCAGTAAAATACTTTAAATATGCTGACTGATCAATGACTAATCCTTTCATACTTGTTATGGATTTAAAAAATTAAACAATATTCACCTTCTGTACCAGCTTCCTGACAACAGATGCATGGTCCCTTGGACAGGATATCTTGAAAACAGTTGGACCTGGCCACGGTATAAGAGACAACACGACAAGCGCGAGTACCTGTTCAAATAGAATATAATGCAATTGGTACTTTCTTTGAAAAGGCAATGATGAATTCTCTTTGACATAGTTTTAAATAAAATATATTTATATTTTTGCTTATTTATTTCTGATGATGACATGAATTCATTAAACGGAAACATAAATACCATATAGATTAATGTCAAAAACACAGCAAGGAAACTGTTCTTAAAATAAATGCAGATTAAACTAAGCATATGAATGTCCAGAACAAGAACTGTGTAAGTCACAATATGTCACTAATCTGTAATTTTAAAATCTTACAAAATTAAAAAGCTGACAGCAACAATAAATATTATGTTCATGATTTAAATTAAGATCAAAATATATTCAGGAAATTTCAGGAAATGAAAAAAATATTCGGGAAACCCTTCTTAATATTCAGTTCAGAACCATTAATATCATGTACAGAACTATTAGGCTTATCCTGGACAAGATCCATTGTCTGGTATATAGAAGACAAAAAACCACAATGTTTCGGAGACTGGATCTGTCTCCATCCTCAGGTGGATGGGGCAGGATACACCTACTCAGTTGGGCCCGTTAGAAAGAACTAGCTGTACAGCATACACCATCGTCAGAATCCTTTCAAATCCATTAATATCATGTCTGCTTCCCACAACACTAAAGAAGGTAACCCTTTAAACCACATTTGTTTTAACATTCAAAAACCTCTTTATCTTATCTAAAAGCATATTTATAGTTTCATATGATTCTCAGAACAAATTGCCTCAACAGCATTAACAAAATGATCCTTTTAATACAAGAATGTTCTTTTCTTTGAGATAGATGCTAAATTTTTAAATATATTTATTATTTTTTCTTTCTATTTTGACTTCTTAAAATACAAAAGTTCCCAGATGTTAGAGAAGCAAATGCGTCAATAAAATCTTTGGATTCTATTTCTGTTTTGTGGAAGTCCTGGGTAACTGCTCCGTTGCTGTCCCTTAAATTCAGCCTGGTTGTTTCGGAGATATGCGGACAGATAGACCTTCCCCTTGTTGTTCATTTACTTTTGCAATGAACCTGTAATAATCATATCATTCTGAGAACTGGATGGAAACCACTGAGACACAATGTGGGAGTAATGGCGAATTATTTAAAGCTAAAACAGGCGGACACACTTTACAGTTCTATGGAAGCCGCTGAGAAAGACAGCCAAGGCATCTGNCCCCCCCCCCCCCAATTTTTAGTGAAAAATCTAAATTGATGAAAGAAGGAAAAATTCCAAAATTAAAGTCGTTTAAAAATTACATTTCTAGCCTGGAGAATGCGGAACCTTCAATAAATATACTCTTGTGCGGCTTAAAAGTATTCAGTTATTCTGTATTGAGGGGGTGGGTTTCCCCATGCACCGCGACTAGTAGTCTATTGTACGTCCCCCTTTGATATTCTACCAGTTGCCATACCCTTCCGATACTGGTGCTCGCTATCAGCCCCGTTCAGCCAGCGAGGCTGGCAGTGGTACCCGATACTTCCCCATCTACCGGAGGCATTGGAAACTACTTGGGCAGGAAACTTTTGCCTAATTTTGCTCAGAGGTCTCCTAGAGACATGAGGATCTTTTACGTGCGGTAAATCTACGACACGGGACCCACGGCTTAAAGTCCCTCCCGGAGGACTTGTTCCCTGAATTTTTCCACCCGTAAAAATTCCACGACCTCCGCCGGGTTTGAACCCGCGTACCTTGAGTCATGAGGTGGGAACGTTACCCCTAGACTACGGAGGCCGCTTTATGCCTAAAAGTAAGTTTGCAAACAAATTTTGGAATGAATCATGGCAACGACCATGCATAATTCTTTTACTACAAAGGATTTGAATTATAAAAACGAGATATCCACAGGCTTTTGGTCATTTCATTCTAAAGTTTATACTTTGAATTCCTATTGTAGACTCTACTGCTAACATCGGCCTAAAGCAAAGAATCGACATTTTGAATATTTTGAAGGTCAAAATAGTTCTAATTCAGATTATTTACACAATTTCATATGAGAACATACACTGTACTTTTCCTATGGATTTTTTCTCACATTCGAAATAAAAATACGGTCTGCGTGTTTCTACATCATTATGACCCACAATCTTAAGATAGTGAACAGAAAATTAATTAGGAATCTTCAAATATACAGAATCCATGAGTTTTGGTTGAGAGTGAGCATGAACTCCATCGATTTGGGCCAGTTTGTGGAGATACTCGTATATGGTATTTCCTATGGTTTATTTTTGTCTGTAGCTCAGAATACGTTGAGTAAAATGTTACGATGGTGAATAATGAAAGGGAGAAGATATGGAAGAAATTGGTCGTGGCCTAATTTAAAGTACTATCCCAGCAGTTTCTTGGAAGAGCTAAGAAAAACTACGCAAAACCCTCAGTCGGGATAAGCGGCATATCGGCTGACATTCGAACTGGCTGTCTCTCAAATAAATAGACGTCAAAAGCGTTATCGCTTGAGCCAAATTGCTCGGATGTATGGTATCATGTCCGTACACACATGGTTGCTCCCTAATGACTTTTGAAAAATGATAACCAATTTTCATTACACTTGGTAGTAAAGCCATACACTGAACATTTGACAGATGATGTTTACGGCTTCGTTTAAGGCCCACGCCTTAGTCTAATTCAAGGCCATCCACAATCATCCTATTCCACTCTTTGCTCCAACAATATTCAGAGGTCGCATATGATCTATAAAAATAAGGCGCTTTTATTCGTTAAGTAGTTAAAACGGATAATATAATCAATACGACCGTATAAAGGCACACGGATACTTTCAAGGACAAGAATAATGATGATGACTGACAAAACACTATTGCTATCACCTAAAATGCAATGCAGAGGAAGACTAGACACATTTGCATACGCAATATGCAAATAATACATTGTGTTGTGTCGACGGACCTACCGATAATTCTATATATTCAGCACAGCATGACGCTCCAATAGATTAGTCTTAATACGCAAATAAGTTTTGAATGAATTAATTAAACAGCCTTATACGCTCGTTAGTAATTCGTTATCAACACAATGTACATTTTGAGCCTCATTTCAATATTCGCGTTTGAGTCACTTTATATGGAAATAAATTTAAATGGAAAGTTATCAATATGGCGACGGTGCAAGTCTTTGAATTTATATTTGACAGGTTAAAATACAAAGAAGAGTTATTATATGGCAAACAATTAATCTAAACGTTTGGAAATCTCTTCTTCCACATGGAAAAATGTGAAGGCCGATTTACATTTCGTAAATTCTTTCCAAGAATTTGTGTTCTATAGAAGTCGGTTGAGAATTCGAAGAGTTTCTTGATAGCAATAGGAAGTGGGCACCTTAAAATTGAGCAGAAACAATTTATCCTCCTCTATGCGTCTTCTTTCACAGAGGGCCGGTCTCAGTAAATGGTACCGTTACTTGAAGGGGCTCAGTAGACGCTCCGCTTTCGTGATGAGGGTAGTACAGCAGAAGAAGACGATCGTTTGAAACATCACGAAGTGCGAATTTTATTATTATTATTTTACTGCAATTGGGTGTTCATCCGGTGGTATTAGAACTTACACTGATACAGACAAGGAAAGTCTATAACATAAGGGAACAACACAAAACAAAATACATACAATAAACAAGGTACATACAGTGCAAATCCAAACAGATTCATATTTCCCTCGGTTCAGATTGACCCAAATGAAAATACTGAGAGACATGTACTTCTCTTCAATCCATTTTCAATGATGTTTCCCCAGGAATCCATGTATTTCTCAGACAAGCGTACAATCTACACACACACATATTAAAAGGCGGATATTTTGAAATTGAGACAATTGTAACTAAATTGTTACTACTGCTGCTAAATTTAAAATACGTTAATGGTTCTGTAGGTGAACAAAATCTCATAATCCTCTGACAACCTGCAGTTTTGGTGCTCCAAGAGCGGAACTCTCAACATGCCGACTATTCCATTGTCGGTTCCTCTTTACGATATGTTTAGTCAAAATGTGGACCACATACCCCCTTCCCACGTACTCATTTCGAGCGGTGTTCAATTGTACTGAGAACAAAGTGTGAATATATTCTTTCGGAAATTGTTTTGTGTTTTCTGTCTCTCTGCTTCGAACTCTGCTCCCCTGGATCATATTCATATGTTTCCCTTTGCTTCAGTATTCAGCAAACGTTTCTGCATGGCAGAGACAGTGTTGCTTCCTGTAACATGTTCTTCGGCTGCCCATGGATTAATGTCCTGATGACATAATCTTTCAAAATGATTATGATGATGATGACGACGACGACAAATGGCGATAGTCTATACAGTATATAAGTATACATCATCTTTACGGTGAGATTTTTATTTATAATAGGCATTCCTTGGTCAAATCGCTTTAAAATTTCACGTAGATTTGGCAGATGTTTTTAATTTCTCTATGTGAATTTCAGTATTCTTGTGTTAGTTTAGGACCTTCTAGAGTCTGATTTACGTTCAGAAGGAAGTACTGAAATTCGTGAAAGGAATTTTTATTTTAATGATTTTATAGTGCAAGAATTGCCATATGAAAATGGGGTTCGTACCATCAGTGCAAAAATGATCGATTTTAATTATTTTCACTTACTGCACCAAAATTTACTCAAATTACGCCAAATAGTCCCGAAACGTGATTATAAAATGCAGTATCTTGGAAACTACAACAGCTAGGATACCAGTAGTCGAGTTATGTGCTGCATTACCAACTACTACTTATTTATGTGAAAGACTTGTCTTATAAAAAGGGATGGAAGTAGGAAACGCATTCCCGTAAGGCCATATAGGTTGAGGTGTTCTAGAACTTAGTGCTGAAGAGTATATTTCGACCCAGGAGGAAGCAACAGAAGACAATAAAATTGCAGACGACCTAATGACGAACTTCAATTACACCTCAGGTCTCTTACAAACAGAGCCGACGCTACAACACAGGCGAACTGGTACATTACAATGGCCGGCACATTTTACAACTTCCAACTTTGTTCCCTTCTTGTTAAATTGTAATCAGATTTATGCTGATCTTGTGTTCATACCATGTCAGCTAGTTGGTATAATCCAAACATGTTATGCAACAATGTAAATTAAACTGTTTTAAGAATTATGAACTAAGAATTTCGTTAGAGTATCTGGAAATCTAGTGTTATTAATCATGACGAAGTTTTCAGAAAGTGTGTCTAAGGGGGCAGAATTCTCGTCATCTGGAGGAGGGGGCATTTAGGTTTGCGCCAGTCCTGCTTAAAAATGTGGCTTTCGGGACAGTGCATGTTCTTTTTGTTTGCTAAAAATTGTTGGACGAATACTTTCATATTTAGTAGGAGTAAATGTGTTTACAAATGGTTGATCAGGAAAAGATAGAAAAAGGGAAATGCGAAGATACATAGCCCTTAATTTTAAATAAATACAGGTAGAATGGGGAGCTGAGATAATGCATTTGGAATAGCGACTAGGCTGCGAATTTGACAACACGGGAATCGGTGTTCGATCCCCAATAAGGGCAAGAGTTGCTTCTCTTTTGCACAGCGTCGACACCGACTCTGGGATCCATTCAGTCTCCTACACAGTGGTTATTTCAACGGGGATGAAGAAGCAGATGTGTGAAGCCTACCACCATCTTCGTCTGGTGCCAAGGTTATGAATGGTGAAACTAATCCGCGCTCCCCCGCACGCCTATATATTGTAGTGCTTAAGTAACTTTACTTTTACTTGCCTGGCCTCATGGATTCTCATGGCGTATTGGCCTATTGGCCCAACCTTTGTTGTTAATGATGATGTTGACTGTTATGTGGGAATGTGTTATCTCTATAGCGAGATCTCGAAAATTGTTTATGATAGACATTTCTTGGACTTACTTACACTTTGATCTTAGCCAAAAGACAAACTAAGAACAATTCATGGAGGATCAAAAATGAAATGAACGTCGCCCCTCCGAATCGTAAATGCTGGCTGTGATCAACCCTTTAGAGGGCCAAGCTTATCTGGCTAGTATACAAAATTGGTTATTACCTCCAAGAAGACATCATGTATTTTAAAATTGATTATACTAACGACGTTTATAAAAATTAAGGCTGTTTATTCTGAGAACCAAATGAAACTAACAAATTGTCTATCTGGACAATATGCCGAGTTCTTTAACGTTAACCAGGTGAGATATATGCTCATAACTGCCCATAAACGGGTTGAATTTTACTTATTTTAAAAAATATATTAGTAATTTTCTCCTTTAATAATTTCTGCAAAAAATATAATGAAATTAACGTCTTCGCTTCTAACTTTAAAGCATTTTAGCCCAGTTACACTACTGTTGAGCGTAGTACTGGCTCCTTTCTGGACTACTAGTTCCCACTCAGCACATCATTTTTCAGAGGGGAATTCTAAAGGCTCAATTAATGCACTTTCTCTGATCGGGTATGACCTCACTAGCTTAAATATTCGCCCTTTCTCAAAGCTTCCGATGAATATGTGTTAAGAAAATACGTCTGTTAAATTGCCTTCATACTAAATCTAATGCTCTTCTACCAAAATAAACTTAGTGAAGACATTAGATCTAACTGTATTTTAAGTGCCTGCGTATTTAAGAAAATTCTATGTGTTCCAATGCATATTAGGTCTAAGACAGAACGCGACGAATCTTATTTCGCGTTAGTTACAAATGTTCATTGTAAGAAGAGGGCATTTGAACGGACGAATTTTTGCTTTGAAAAACTGTTCCGTGCAATTTGTTGCGTGCTTATGTTTAAATCATTAACAATAAAATCTGATTGCTACTGTATGGTGGAAAATATCGATTACAAGTACCTTGCCAGTAACACTAGCTTCATATCTTTAATGAATGTTCTGTATGACATAAACTGAGATGTCATTTGGTTTGAGAAATAATATAATTAAATAAAATATATTTAAATTAGTTATATACTTGTAAGCTTTATTTAGCATGTCTCTTGCAATTTTAAGAGTAGGCAAATCGCCTTTCTGCCAGAGGCAGAAAACAAAATATGAAATTATTTATTATATCTGACTTACTTCCAAGTTAAATGATATGGTCCTCATTCATATTCTTGTTATATGAGCAGCTTTTAACNAGGAAGCAACAGAAGACAATAAAATTGCAGACGACCTAATGACGAACTTCAATTACACCTCAGGTCTCTTACAAACAGAGCCGACGCTACAACACAGGCGAACTGGTACATTACAATGGCCGGCACATTTTACAACTTCCAACTTTGTTCCCTTCTTGTTAAATTGTAATCAGATTTATGCTGATCTTGTGTTCATACCATGTCAGCTAGTTGGTATAATCCAAACATGTTATGCAACAATGTAAATTAAACTGTTTTAAGAATTATGAACTAAGAATTTCGTTAGAGTATCTGGAAATCTAGTGTTATTAATCATGACGAAGTTTTCAGAAAGTGTGTCTAAGGGGGCAGAATTCTCGTCATCTGGAGGAGGGGGCATTTAGGTTTGCGCCAGTCCTGCTTAAAAATGTGGCTTTCGGGACAGTGCATGTTCTTTTTGTTTGCTAAAAATTGTTGGACGAATACTTTCATATTTAGTAGGAGTAAATGTGTTTACAAATGGTTGATCAGGAAAAGATAGAAAAAGGGAAATGCGAAGATACATAGCCCTTAATTTTAAATAAATACAGGTAGAATGGGGAGCTGAGATAATGCATTTGGAATAGCGACTAGGCTGCGAATTTGACAACACGGGAATCGGTGTTCGATCCCCAATAAGGGCAAGAGTTGCTTCTCTTTTGCACAGCGTCGACACCGACTCTGGGATCCATTCAGTCTCCTACACAGTGGTTATTTCAACGGGGATGAAGAAGCAGATGTGTGAAGCCTACCACCATCTTCGTCTGGTGCCAAGGTTATGAATGGTGAAACTAATCCGCGCTCCCCCGCACGCCTATATATTGTAGTGCTTAAGTAACTAAGTGCAGAAATAACTTTACTTTTACTTGCCTGGCCTCATGGATTCTCATGGCGTATTGGCCTATTGGCCCAACCTTTGTTGTTAATGATGATGTTGACTGTTATGTGGGAATGTGTTATCTCTATAGCGAGATCTCGAAAATTGTTTATGATAGACATTTCTTGGACTTACTTACACTTTGATCTTAGCCAAAAGACAAACTAAGAACAATTCATGGAGGATCAAAAATGAAATGAACGTCGCCCCTCCGAATCGTAAATGCTGGCTGTGATCAACCCTTTAGAGGGCCAAGCTTATCTGGCTAGTATACAAAATTGGTTATTACCTCCAAGAAGACATCATGTATTTTAAAATTGATTATACTAACGACGTTTATAAAAATTAAGGCTGTTTATTCTGAGAACCAAATGAAACTAACAAATTGTCTATCTGGACAATATGCCGAGTTCTTTAACGTTAACCAGGTGAGATATATGCTCATAACTGCCCATAAACGGGTTGAATTTTACTTATTTTAAAAAATATATTAGTAATTTTCTCCTTTAATAATTTCTGCAACAAATATAATGAAATTAACGTCTTCGCTTCTAACTTTAAAGCATTTTAGCCCAGTTACACTACTGTTGAGCGTAGTACTGGCTCCTTTCTGGACTACTAGTTCCCACTCAGCACATCATTTTTCAGAGGGGAATTCTAAAGGCTCAATTAATGCACGTTCTGTGATCGGGTATGACCTCACTAGCTTAAATATTCGCCCTTTCTCAAAGCTTCCGATGAATATGTGTTAAGAAAATACGTCTGTTAAATTGCCTTCATACTAAATCTAATGCTCTTCTACCAAAATAAACTTAGTGAAGACATTAGATCTAACTGTATTTTAAGTGCCTGCGTATTTAAGAAAATTCTATGTGTTCCAATGCATATTAGGTCTAAGACAGAACGCGACGAATCTTATTTCGCGTTAGTTACAAATGTTCATTGTAAGAAGAGGGCATTTGAACGGACGAATTTTTGCTTTGAAAAACTGTTCCGTGCAATTTGTTGCGTGCTTATGTTTAAATCATTAACAATAAAATCTGATTGCTACTGTATGGTGGAAAATATCGATTACAAGTACCTTGCCAGTAACACTAGCTTCATATCTTTAATGAATGTTCTGTATGACATAAACTGAGATGTCATTTGGTTTGAGAAATAATATAATTAAATAAAATATATTTAAATTAGTTATATACTTGTAAGCTTTATTTAGCATGTCTCTTGCAATTTTAAGAGTAGGCAAATCGCCTTTCTGCCAGAGGCAGAAAACAAAATATGAAATTATTTATTATATCTGACTTACTTCCAAGTTAAATGATATGGTCCTCATTCATATTCTTGTTATATGAGCAGCTTTTAACACAATATTTTTCACCCGTTGTTCATGTTCAGGTAACAAAAATGTTACATAGCAGAATACAATGTAATGCGTTTTGCCGTTCACAGGCGCAACCACCGCAAACTCTGAACCATTACCCCGCCAGTCAAAGGAAGTGCTAATAAAATCAAAATTTAATCGCGAATATTAAATTAAATATATGTAAAAATATTACTTTATAAAACTGCTCTTTAGCGGAAGTACTTGAATGATATTTAGAATAGTGTTCGACACTTTAAACTGCATGCGCATCACATAGTGCTTCGTAGGTGATTACGTCATATAGGTGTACATGATGGTGGTTGGACAGAGGTTGGCAACAGGACGAAAGTGCGGTGAAGTTCACAGTTTATAACAATTGCAACGTTAGTATATCAAAGAATGTGAATATGAATTGTACTGCATGCTGTTTTTGTATGCAACAACTGTATTAACCCGAATAGGGTGTGCATATGTTAGAACTAAATGTCAAAGTGGTACACACGGTCCCTCCCTTTCGTATATTTTTCAGTGTTTCTACGGTTATTACTGAGAAGTATTTTGTATCACTGACAGGACGGATATAATATTCAGCGACAGCCGTCAATGACTGCTTTACATTCAAGATAAATGGTGGTTTTTACTGTATTTACATGTGATGTCTTGGCCATATGTGATTTGGAAAGGGAAGGGCTGTGAGAAGTATGAGAGCTGTAGACTTTCATGAATAGTAAATAATGACTGGGGTAGGAAATTTCTGCAAGAATAAGGCGAAAACTGACAACTGTTTTTGTGTGGCAAAGGAAAACATTGTCGCTGAAAGGCAGGCTTTTAATATAAATGTAAATTTAAAGAGTACTAGGGTAATTCGACTTGGGTCACTTGTAAAAGTAATATCCACAAAATATGGTGGTGACAGAGTGGCAGTACGGCTCATTGATGAAAGAGGTTTGGTTGAAGGGTCAGAAGATGTGTGGGTATGTTCCAAGTTCCATTTACTACCTGTGGATCCTGTTATGTTGCCTTCACTCACAGCTGTCTTTGAACCCTCCCATCGAGTTGCACTAGTGCAAAATGGACAAATTTTTCGTGAATTGGCAGCAGTAGAAGTTGGGGAAAAAGTTATGCTCCTTCCTGAAACTCAGGATTCAAGATCGGGGCAAGAGCTGGCTGTGGTCAAGTACAAGGGTCCAGTTCCAGAGATGGGGCCTGGTACCTATTATGGTCTTGAAATTTTGGTAATTTTCTTTTGTTTTGAATTTTATTTATTCAGAACTTCAGACTGAATTATAAGTTTATGACATAGGTACATGTTTTGTAATACTTCACATTTATTTGTTTTAACATAGTTATATTGTAGTTAGAATCATAATGAAGTGAAAATTTGCAAATATTTGCAGATTAATTTTGTAGAAATATTTTTGGCAGTTTTTATTAATTATTGCAGATCATTGTTTTATGCATAGCATATTTCTAATGGAAATTCGGAGTGTAATGACTTTTATGTGTCAGCTTACATATATAAGCCTAGTACAAATTGAGTGTAGGTATGATATGAGAAGGTTTTTCAACTGGTAGAAAATGTACTTCAGAAATTTGTAGTAAATGCAGGTTCTGTAAAAGAGATATTTCTTTCATACAATTTCTACAACAATTCCTTACGTTGGAAGTCTGCTAGAATAAATCCACAAAAAACAAAGCTGACAAACAGAATTTCATACAAATTATCCTATATCACATCAATACTAAAAGGGAGAGTGTCCCAATATATAAAGCATGTTTTGCTAAACCATATTTTGCTAAAACATATTTATGTTTTCTTTTAAACGAGAAAGATTGGGATCAGCATTAACAGCAGTCAGAAACTCTCAGTTCTTGATATTGCCAAAATAACCGTTTTTGTCATAAATGACAGATTTAACAAATTTATTTGTTTCATTTGTAAGAGTTTTTACCTTTTGGTCTGCTTTTGAAGGGTGGTTTAAACTTGCCAATGAATATCAGTTTCTGTAATGAAGAATACATAATGCTTGGTGATCTGATTTTATCACTTTTTTTTTTTCAATTATGTCTGATGCTTGGATGTCTGAGGCATCTTTTACTGAAGTGTTATACAAACAGGAAATTAAACTGTTTTCATAAGTTCAGAAACCTTTCCCTTGGGAACATTTCTCTGTGGGAAATGTTGCAGACAAAGCATTGTTCTGAAGAACTGAACCACCTTAACAATACCACTGCACATACAGTGTATCTCCCTACCTATTTACATCCTTTTGTCACTTTTACTACTGGCCAGAGACATCCTACCTTTAGATGAATATAACCAGATAATCCCAATGTGGAGCTAGAATTGCTTAATAAGAGCAGCAAAAGCGACCAAAATTGTAAGAGACAACGAAAAGTTGTTCTTATACAAGTTGAGATTGACTTAGTGTTCTTTCCAAGCGACTTCTAAAATTATAGTTTAACAATCTTGCACAGTAGTACAGTTTTCTGGGTTCTAACGATGTGTGGTTTGATGAGAGTCCAATGTCTCACCATGCAGAAGCATGTGGCAAACTTCTTAGTGTTGTGACCGCAGGAAGTTTAGGGCACAGTTGTTTCAGATATTTTCTATCAGAACCACACTTCTTATTTGATTCATGAAAACATGCACATACAGCAGTATAGTGAATCATATCCACTCATGATGATAGCCACTGCTTTAAATTCAGTGTAGTGAATCATGTTCACTCACTGTGATAACCACTACTTTTTAATTCTGTCCAACATTATTGCACTCATATTCACTCACAGTGATATCCACAGTTGAATTCACTGTTTGACACTGTTGCAGCCTTATTAATTAACAAAAACTGAATGGCTGTTCATGTGAGCAAGAGTAATTTGGGCAGCATTTAATAATAATGTTATATTTTAGTGTCCTGTTGCACTGATTTAAGTCCATGATTTATTTCAACCGTCTTCCAGTGCATACACTCATCTGTCTCCTCCTCTCACTCGCACTACATGTTTCGGCACAAAAGTGCCATCTTCAGGTGCTTATTCGATTTACGCTAAACTAGTTCATTGCATGCCTTGTCGTATTCATATAAAAATAACTAAAATATATATTTATCATATATGTTGATAAATGTTAAATGTTAAAAATATTAAAATTGTTCAGGATTTTTCATCCCTACGTCGTATCTCACTACGCGAGTTACACCTATCCTCTTCTGTTGGAGCACTCTTTCACTATTGTGTGTGTATTGTGCTTTGTGTTGTGTCTTGCTCCTGTGACTGCATGTGTTGCGAGTGAGAGGAGGAGATAGATGAGTGTATGCACTGGAAGACGGTTGAAATAAATCATGGATTTAACAATAATGCTCTGCCAGAATTATTCTAACCTTGTACTGGTGTGAACTGGCAGTGCTCAACTGAAGAAGTCTGTCACTGGCTGGTAGTCAAGCAGTGAGAAAATTCTGTAACTGTATAGGAAGGTGCACTGTACCACCAGGATAGATTTCTGCTGTCATATGTGAAAGACATTATGTTTTGGTTTTTCTTTTTGCCATACTTTTTGGTCCTTTGCTTTTTACTTACCTTCAGTCCTATATTTTCTACTTGCACAATGAAGTTTTTAAGTTTTGCAATTGTACTCTTTTACCTCTTTGCCTAATGTGTGTCCCATATCCTGTTCATCATGTTTCATATATCACTATCTGGAACCAAACTTGCTGATAATAGACATCCTTGCTTCTCCTGAACTGACATCAGAAAGGCTGGATATTAACTGATCAGTATATTTTACAATTCCAGTATCTGTTGCAAATTCTCAACCTTATCACCTGATACAGTGCAATAAATTATTCTGCATTTGTTTTTTTGTGAGTGGAAGTTGATCATTAAATGTTGCACTGTGTATGGGATTGTACATTTGAAACAAGTCTGAAGATGATGCCTGTCTTATTTATTGTCATATTTAATTTCCCAAATTTCTTTTGTATTCTGTGTTTATGGAGAGCTAATTGTGAACTGTCAGCATTTTCTGATCGCCTTACCTTCATTGTGGGTATAATTTACCATCAGTGGCCTGCCAAGTACATGTTGATCAGAACAGATGCATTAGTAGTTGTAGATTGATCTTTTCAACTGTATGTTCTTTCGAATTTTTGAGAGTGAAGAAATACAACTCAGTATGTATTATTTTCCACAAAATAAATGCCAGGATTTGTATTTGAGGTCTGGACGATATAGAAAGGGATCTTGAAGGAATACGATGGGAGAATGTGGGCTGGATTTATGTGTCTCAAAATAGGGACCAGTGGCAGACTCTTGTGGATGAGAAAATGGAGATATGGGTTCCATAAAATGCTGGGAAAGTAACAGCTTCTTGAGAAATGCTAAGCTTCATGTATTTGTAGCAGTAACAATGGCAGGTATTTTATACCTCTATTTTTAAATAAGCATTCAGAATATTCACATTTTGGGCCACATAATTCAGCTTTCCTTTGATGCCTGGGATATTTTAAAGAAAGGTTATTTCTAAAGAAAATATAGAGGGTAGTGTGTGCTGATTATTTTCTCATGACAGTAGCAAACGAAAACTGAATTTTAATAAAATAGTCAATTTTATCTGTATAAAAAGGCAGTGTAGTATATTTTATAAATCAGTATTCACAGAACTTGGTTGCTTCTTTTGTGTGTCATTTGTACTAATCATACTTTTGATTACCTTACATTTGTCAGACATAGTCAGAAATGCTAGTGCCATTGCCATATTTGTAATTTTTAGCACCAGCACTAACATATGAAAATATATGTTATAACTGACCCACTCAGTGAGACTTCAAGCCCCACGAGTTGGTCGCCACTTATAACTGCCCTATTAGTTCCCTTACGTTGGTCTCCACTTTCATCCGCCGCTTCCTTGTTGCTGTCAGGTTCAGGGTAGGGTGTGGGATTACTCTGAATTTGAATTTGTATGGGCGCCAGTGGACCTGAGTGAAATCCACAAATTCGGAATGGGGAAGACCAAGGGGGGGGGATGTGGATGGGCGGGCGTTTGGGATTTCGGCTGCTCAGACGGTAGGACAAGATTCTGTCTCAGGGCGACTTCTGGGCCTTGCTCACACAAGGAGATAGAGAACACTTCACCAACACTGTTGCTTTTTATTGTAGATGTTAACTAGAATTATGTATTACAAGGCTAATCCCTAACAAGATCCATGTAAATTTGGGCCTAAGTACAAGATGGTCCTTCTGACAGCTCTCAAATAAATGAAGGTACACTAACGATCGCTTGGTATGCCCCTTCGAAAATTATTGCGACTCGTATCTGTCAAGTCTCAAATTTTCAACGACTCATACCACTGAAGTTAAGCATTGAAATTCCAAGAAAACGCAGCGGGATACTTCCTGCTCCGTTCTGGGCGTTTCAAGTGACCTGCAGTTGGCTTGTCCCTCAGAAAGACCATATGTCGTCCTTGGCGCCCGCTGGTGCTGGGGTCAATTGTGTATCATTTTTTGTTAACAGTATTACAGTTCGTTTACATGTAGTACATTGTAATTAAGAATGTAAATTAACAACATTGCTGAGGTTCCTGCATGGTGCAGTTACAATATATTATTTATTTTCATACCAAATTTCTGAAGTCACCATCTCATTATTTCCCATTTGAAAAGCTAACTTGAACAAAACTTGCATATTTTCAAATTCTACTCATAGTCACTACATAGAATATCACAGAACTATCAGTTGCAGAGAATTGTGAGGGAAGGGCTGTCTGCAATGATGAATGATATTATGTTTGTACAAAGTTCTGTGAACGTCTGCCCATTGGTTTGGATGGAAACAGATAATATGGACACATGGACATGACCATGATAGTACCATTTTCTTGCCTTTCATTATAATTAGCATATTTAAATCACTTTATCAGGAATGTACATTTCCTTTGCCCATAATGTTTAGTTACTTATTTATTTATATTTTACTTTTGTAAGAAAACTGTTAGTAGCTTAGAATTATGTAGTATTGATTGGTAAGGTGGTTAGTGAATGATGAATTGGAAGGGACGTGATTGTTATCTGACTGTGCATCGCCTAAATACCGTCACATGTATGGGTGACTATAGATGGGGCTTGGATTGGAGATTTTTGATTTATTGACCACTTCAACACATGTCTCATGGCTTACTTACTTACTCACTCATGGAGCTGAGCCTTTCTTGAGGAGCTGCCAATTCTGCAGCTACTCAAGAATTTCCCAGCATTTTATGGAACCCTAAGGTTCATCACCGTGTTCACAAGAGCCCTCCACTGGTCCCTATCCTGAACCAGATCTATCCAATCCATACCATCCCATCCTATCTCTCTAAGATCCATTCTAATATTGTCCACCCACATATGCCTTGGTCATCCCAGTGGTCTCTTTCCTTCTGGCTTTCCCACCAATATCCTATACGCATTCCTCGTCTCCCCCATTCGTGCTACATGACATGCCCACCTCATCCTCCTCAACTTGATCATTCTAATTATACTTGGAGAAGAGTACAAGTTACATGTCTCATGGCTACACTTAATTATAACACCATCACCTATCTCCACACTTGACAGACAGCACATGCTAAGTTTTTTCAGTCTGCTTTGTCTTCAGTGGTCATTCCTTAGTAACAGCTTCTAACAGTGGAGATTCTTCAGCTTCTGCACTGACTAAGCCTTCTCTTTGCAGACTCCCTTACAACTCTGAACTCATGCTCCAGTTGTTCTACTTATAACATCTCGGTACAGACAGCATAGAAAAACCTGTTCATTCTTGTACTGCAGTCATTTCTATGGGAACATGTTTGTTTGCAAAGGCCTTACACAGTAATGGCTGCATGTACTTACTTATTAAGAATCTGTTGCCTAGCAGCAGATGTTATTTTGTTATTTTGAGGTCTTTACCCATTAACAGGTCTACATACTACAATATGTTAGAAGTATTATTGCTTCAGCCCACTTAAAACCATTATTGTACACTGCTTAATCATATGTAGTCAATTATGGTAATATAGTGAAATTTATGAAGTCTTAAAATACTCACTGCTTTGTATTAATTGTGAGGCTTAAGAATTATTTGTCATGTAAATTTATGAAACTTTACATCTTAATATCAGAAGAGCAACTAATCAGTTGTTAATATATATACTTTTTTTTTGTTATTAGGTTTCCAGCACACAAGGTAAAAATGATGGAAGCACTTTTGGCAGGCGATTCTTTCAATGCCCCAGCAATGCTGGTGTTTTTGTTGCCTTGAACAGACTCGGGCCCTACAGGGATCCAAAGGCCCTGAACCTTGGCCAGTCCATAGTGAGTGGTGGTGGAAATTGTTCTGAAGTTGTAGGCATTCCATCAGGCTCATCCATGCCATCCAATGAGAGAAGGGTGCATCAGAATGGAGGGAATCATGATGCGGGAAACTTTAGAACAACCCTTGTACTTCGTCTGAAGGAGAAGGAAAGTATTCCTAGGAACAGTCAGCCCATCAAGCTTGAGAAAACTGAGAAACTGATTGGTAAGCATTTCATAATAAAGAAATAAATGAAAAACTTTGAAATCAATTAATTTTACTTTCCACTGTTTGAAAATACAAATATAAACCAGTTATAGAACCAAATCCAAGGAAATAAAACCAGCTATTAAAAATATCGATGGATATCTGTTCCTCACTGATGTGTACTATTTTTTGAGCCATCTCCGCCATCAGCATAGCAGTCACATTGACTGCGGTCACATTAAGGCCATCAAGGACATAGGCCTAAAATTTTGTATAGATTCGACTGGTCAGATAATATGCATCCTTCATTAAAGTTTTAAAATGACATGTCTGTGAAATATACACTTGCATTTGGTTTGATAACAGCTTGTAAACCATTGTAACAAGAAGTATTATTAAAAGTAACAACAACATATAAAGAGAATCCAAAGTAAATTGCTACCAAAAAAATGTACACCTGTGTTTTTATTTAAGTATTATATTGTAGCGTGTTTTGTGTGTCACGCTACAAATAGATTCATGTAGGCCTCAAATTAAGTAGAACCTTTATTGTTCTTCCGTTTACACAATCACGAGTACAACTACTATTCACTGTGACACCTCAACTGTCTTCTGCGGCGGATGTTCCACGACACTCTACTTTGAAGGCTGGATAAGGGCTAACTTCTCCGAAGGCTTGATAACGACTGACTCCTTAGACGGCTCGATGAAGACTGACTTCTTAGCTGGCTATTCCAAGACTGACTGTGCGAATGCATTCAACCTCGCTATATAACCTTGGTCGCTGCTATGCAACGAACCCTCTGTTATAGCAGTGGAAACGTTGCTCTGTTGGTTCCGCGTTTCCTATGCAATAACCCATTGTTATCGCGTTGAGATGTGTGCACGTTTCATATGCATGAACATGGCGATGGCATGACTGTGTTTGTGTGTGTATTAGAGTTGCTTAAAGAAAAGTGAAGGGACTATTACGTCGCGGTGGCAGGGGGGCGTGGAGGTATCCCTCCTTGCCACCACATATTATGCTGTAAGGGGTTAACACAATAATACTAGATTACTCTCAGCTAGGATTCTCCTGGTTCTGTACCTTCTTCGTTGCATACAGCTGCCACCATGTATTATATCTTAAGAGGGTTGATGAAAATACTAAGGGTCGGTAGCGCGGTAGTCGGGCGTTCTTTGTTGGCTGGCCCCTTCATCACTGTCACCTCTTATTATTGGCGTAGAGCGGGCGTGTTGGGTCTGACCCGCCTCTACCCATCGACTGTCACACCATATATTACACCTCTACGACAGGTGGATTTAATATCTCCCCGCTTTCACCAATTATTATGTCTTAGTGCCGGGGGTGGGTTACAACACACTAAATCACTTGGTCTACCATTTCTCTTTGGCTAGTCCCTTCACTACGTCAGTCAACCCTTCGTTGATTTGGCCCACCGCCGTTGCCATAAGTAATACCTCGATGTAAGGGGTGAGTAAAACACAGTTACTCTTTCTCTCTGTCGGCCGCCTCTTGTTGGCCAATCCCCCACTTCTGCCATCACTTTGTTATGCCTCAAGGGGGCTAATGAAATGTCTAAATTACTCTTCCCTTGTTCCATCAGGAACACATCTCCTTGTCTCTACTAGTAGTCTCTCACCCTTAACTAGGATTCTCATAACCCTTACTGCTTGTTGCATCTGGCTGCCGTTCGCCGCCTGGGTCAGTTCCGCCCTTTGCTTGGGACCAGGAAAGGGAGGAGTTTGTGAGGGTGAATCATACTCTGGGTACATCCTACCCTAGGTACATTGTCTATTTACACTCTTATTTACAATCCTATTTACAGTATGAACAGTGCCGACTTTCAGTCGGGACTACATAGCGTCTAGACTTTAGCATGCTATGACTTCATCATGGTCTCCCCCTTCTGGGGTGTAGGACTTGAGTCTGTCTGTCTCTTTCTCCCTACGGTGTCGACTCATTTCACAATTCTCCACTATTCTATCATAAGACTTCACCTTCAAATTATTCTGCCCCTAAAGTTATACATACTGAAAGTCTACATATATTTATCACAAAAATCAGTAGTCATAACACTATCTAACATCTACCATATTTACTCCACTAGCAACCTTGCCTATTACTTGTTACATGATTTCTCTTATTCTACCCTAAATCTCGCTGGGCTCGCTGGAGATTGCTTTTCAACATTTTAACCATTTAACCACAACAATAAAGTTTAACAGCATGGCTAATATGAGCAAACATGACTTACTTGATATAGAGACACAGCGACATCACCACTTGTAGTACCCATGTCGGACAGAGCCTTCGGCTAATCGTTACGTTTTTAGATCAGTGCTCATTGAGTTTTTTTTTTCTCATTTTTATACACTAATTTTGCTGGCACTGCAGTTTGCGAAAGAGGGAGGTTAACTACTCCCTTTGTTCTAAATTTCGGGGTGGAAGGTTTTCATTGGCTATTCCCTTTGGTGGTAGGTGGGGTCTGCAGTGCCGTCGCAGTGTATTTGTTAATTGCATCTTACTCCAGTGACCTCATAAAACAGTTTTGTTTCTGCTTGTGGTATTACATATCGGTGCTGACTCCAACATTCTTGACCTTGATCGCCTGTCCAGGTGTTGCCATTCTAGCTTGATTGCTGTAAAACGCTTTTCGCAAGTCTCGAAACATTTAGGCAATGTCTTTTGATTTTCAGTCTCGAAATTTCGGCACAACAGGGACAGACCTGCTTCATATGCTGGAGGTTCTCAGTCCAGAGCTCACCCTGGAAGCGTGCTAACCTGAATGAGGCTTTTCATGGCTTACTTCAGTCCTTCCAGTAAAATACCACACTAGTTCTTTCAGCTGGCCAGAATTGCTTCCTTTCATATCCTTTCTGATTCATTATTAATTAATTATTTAACCATTTTGTGCTATATAATCTTAATAATTTAAGTATCATTAAATTGAGAATAAATAAATTAAACTTAAGGCTAAAGATGCATTTATTGAGGCATTTAGAACTTCTTTTCAAGCACTGGTCTCCCTTGGCACATTGTACACAGTTGGATCAGAACTTTTATTGATGTGTGTGTAATTCTTGTATTTATTTTAGAACAGGGAAAATGTAACATCCCTGTAGTTGTAGATGCTGTCAACTTATTTAATTATTTTTCTCACATTACAGGGTTTGAAGAGGTCACAGAGAGTCAGTATTCTTCTCACGAAAAAGAGTCCATAAATTGGGACATTTTTGCTGAGTTGCCTTTAGCATTCTTTTCTTGGCATAAATAAATAACATTGTTATATGCACATGTGAAAAATGATTATACCTAAAGTCATTCATGTGAATCCCTTATTGATTTATACAGTTCTACCAAGAGCGACATGAAATTGAATTACTGTTATAACTATCTCATGGTCATATTTCTAGATCTGGAACTTGCTGGTGAAAATGGTGACTGTGGTAACGTGCCACTCAAAGTGGGTGATCGTGTTGTGAGGATCTTAGACACTAAACCAGAACAAGGCATTGTTCGCTGGGTTGGCCATTTAGATGGGCATACATTGAAGAATGACTTGATGGCCGGAGTTGAATTTGTAAGTTTTTACAAGTTTACTTGATACATTATGAGCAAATTATTCTGAAATATCACTGTAATATGTATCTCTTGCCCTCTTGTCATATTTATGAAGCACTACAATATAATATTTTTCATTTATCATTAGTTGGATGAAGTCTTTCTCATAAGATTTGAGTATTGTAAAGCTAAAAAAATTCATACAAACACAATACGGATTCATATTGATTCATAACGCAATTCAAGAACTACTGCCCGTGTTCTTGTATACCTGAAGATGACCCAAGAAAAGTGTTGAAACATGTAGTGTTACCACCAATAGCTAATAAAACAAAAGTTGACACAGTAGTGTCTATTTGTCTCTTTCAGAACTGTTGTGTTGAGTGTCCCATTATATATCTTTCGTATGACACAACAGGATGCATACCATAAAAGTTATGGTACAGTTAAGTGCCATAGCAACCAGTGAAAAAATCAGTTACATGAAAATGAATATGTAAAGTTTGGGAAGACTGGCAAATATTGGAGAGCAACAATGAAATGTACTCCTCTTGCATGTTTTGTTGTACTATAAATCAATAAGTGGCACCTGTAAAAAATGAAATATGAAAACAGCGATTGGTGTTTGCAGACAGAGCTGAAGAGATTACAGATTACAGAGTTCTGGAAAAAGAGTTAAAGGAAAAGATGATTTGTTATATGTATTTTGGGAGATTCATAGTAGAATTTCTTTGAAAGCTTTCAGTGTTTCATAATTATCTATAAATAATTTTGTAATTCATCTTTTCATTTTTGTTTTATATATCAACTGATTTTGAAATGTGGTTTGTTTTCATTCCAGAAATTATCTCCCACTTTTTGTGAACTTCAGTTATTTGTTGTTTAGTTATGTGTGAACAATAATTTATTGCAGGCTTGTGAAATTATAAGCTTCAGGTAAGGGATTCCATATTTACACAACTGTTCTTTTCAACCAAATACTGTCTTTATTGTTCACAGGAAAAACCCATTGGAGATAGTTCTGGTATGTACAAGAAACAACAGTTGTTCCAGGCTAAGAAGAATCATGGACAGTTCATACCTGTAATAAGTCTTGTAAAAGCAGAAGATTTCTTTGGGTCACCTGCTGCAGGTACTTTTTCACTCAGAAACAGTGTACAGTGTGAGACAAAAGTTTCCCTAATATTGATAAATGGTTCATATCATAAGGAGTAAAGTTTCTAAATCCTGTATTTTATGTAATTGGTTAGACACAATGAAGAATTGTATGTCATGTTTGTTTCTTCACATGAAACAACTTGTCCCACTGTACAGATTTTAACTAACTTTGATATAGGAGATCTACATTAAAACTATCAGTTAGCAACATCACAATCTGTAAGGCTTAGGTATGTTGACTTTTTATTATTCCAATTAAAGGAATAAATTATATTTTGGGCCATATTGGGTGAATAAATTATATTTTGATGAACATTGGGCTGTTAGTAGTGCCTGAAAACAAAGATTTAACCCTTCCTAACATTTAAATAGCAAGTTTCATTGTGATGAAATGAAATGCAACATTATTTATATGAAACTTTACAGTGTTACACATTTAATGCTCAAGCATGGCAGCTGCTTGTGTGATATGGAAATATTTAACCATAATATCCATTTTACAGAGACAAGACATAACATTATTATGATTCTCTGGTGTGACATTTTGAAAATAAATCCCTCATCACTGCAGCATTGTTATAATGTAAGATGGGGCATTTGTATAGATGGTGCAGCTGCTGTTCTTTTGCCCACAAATGGTTAATCATTTATGACACTGAATCTAACAGTTGAAATGTGGAATGTGGAAGTATACCATATTTGCCCAAATATAAACTGCACTTTTCCCCAAATTGCCCCATTATAATCAGGATGCAGTTTATAAGCATTTCTTAAAAATATCATTGTATTTTTTTAAATGTACATAGCAAATCCATGACCATTGGTAGGAGTAAAATTGAAACTCACACCCAATTTATTGTGATGAGAGATGTGAGAAATAATGTTCAAAAGTAAAAGATCAAGTAAGTGCATGACTTTTTTCTCTCTTTAAAACCATTCAATTTCGGGAGTTCAGCTTATATTCAAGGATGATATATATATTTGGGCAAAGAGAAAGTGAAATAGATACATTAAGATGTCATTCATGACCAAAAATATGACAGACTGTTACTGGTTAATAAAATGGCAAGAAAACTTGTGGATTTTTGTACAGTAAGTAACAACTCAAATTCACCCACTTATATGTCAAAATATATAAACATGATTACATGGTTGTTGTAATATGTATAAGTCATTTCTGAACTATTTTTATTTGTTTTTATTTCAGAGATTGTCAGAAAGAAAGTGAAAAACATGAAGCTGATTGAAAACTGTAACAGTTCGAAACCCAGTCATCATAGCAACTTACCCACAAGTTCACAGAAATCAGATGCCCTTCTAAAAACTCAGCGTTCAGAATCATTTCTGTGGAGCCCTCATTTAGTGGAACTAGCTAATAGTGCTACAAACAACTCTCAGAACAGAGAGGATTTGATACTTAAAGAGGGGGATGACAACATCTGTAAGTCAGAATATGTTTTTTCAGAATCAAACCTTGATCAAAGTTCAGTGACTTCAAAAATTGATCACGTTAATAAACGTAACATCAAAGATTCCAAAAATAATAATGTTGGGAAGAGAGCTGGATACAATCTGAGTGAATACCCTATAGGCGAGGCAAACCCTAGAGATTATTTCCTGACTGAAAACATTCCTGGCAGTAGACATACATGTGAGGATAGGACAGCCAGACCCACAGAAGGAAAGATACGGCATTCCTATTCGCAGGATCTGCAGTCACATCACAGTCCTGATGACTTTCTTAGTGAATTATGGCCACCAGTTAGTGAGAACAACCAGCACAAGAGTAGAATTAAGGATGAAAAGAAATCCAAAACATTTACAAGGAAACCAGACAGACTGAACAACAGTGCTGACCCTCACTTAGAGGTAGTTGGTGAAGGCATCCAGAAATTGTTGGCAGTTTCAGGCCAAGGTATGTACCAAAGACAGAGGATCCTATTTGAGATTGTGTGTCTGTTTAAAGGAAAATTCGCAAGTGTAATTAATTTAATAATTCATCACTAATACATATCCTGTGGTGTGTGTATTGTGTATATATGCAAGGCTAAACAAAAATCAATTTAATCCAACAGCTCAATATAAAGATCAGTGTTGGTTGTGTGTATGTATTGCTGGAAAAATATGTAATTCATGCATAACAGGCAACAAAGAAACCTTCTGTACAAGCTTACTGTATATAAAAAAAATGTTGATCATTTTGAACTTAATTTTATTAGAAAAACAGCAGAGCCTGCGCAGTGAATCATTCAGAACCCTTTCAACAATACAGTAACAGACCAGCAGTACAATACAATTTATAGGTCATTGATATTTTGCATTCTTGCAAACACATATACATTATCTTTAAGAGAATAAAAAAGTAAAGAAAAATATCTGATTTTGTTTGTTCTTACTGTCAGTTTGTTTTGTTTATTGTACTACTATTGCATTGCTTGGAATAACTGATGTATTAATTTTGTCATACATTGGTTTTCTTTGCTGTATAATTCATGCTTTCATTCACTCATTCATAACCGGTCATCTTTCTGATGCCGTTCATAAGATTTTCAATTAACTGCCATTGATAATCTGTAGAAGTGACAGGATTTTTTATTTGTGCAATATATCATAAAAGGATAACAGATGAAGATAATTTGAAAGTATAATATCTTGTTGATACTGTAGTTGCACAGTTTTGACGTATTCTTTCAGAATATATTCTTGTTCTTTAAGGTCTTGAACCTTCTTTCTTCTGTGTGCATTAGTAACCAGTCAAGTGGTTATGATGTCTATAGACATCATGTGGTACTGTGTATTGTAGTGGCCATGATGTCTATAGATGTCACGCATGTTTCTGACTACCCCGTTGTAGATATACAAGCAATGCCAGTTGGCACTGCAGACTTGTATGTTGTGCTTGCAAGATGTTCTGGTTACTTCAGAGTGTGACAGGAAGTTGTTGATTGCTTGTTAGCTGTCCTGAGTTTGAATTCTTTCGACTAAACATTATGGCAGGTCCTAGCAAAAAGATGCGTGTAACTAATGGGGACGTGTTTTATGAACTGTCACAAGAGAATGAATACAGTGATATTTTAGAGAGTGAATATAGTAGTGATAGTGAAATAACTGTGAAAATTTTGTCAGGTGGTGAATAAAGTGTCAGCTCTGATGAAGCAGAAAATGTTAGCAACAACAGTAGCATGTAACTTAATGTACGGGCAAATTTAGGTGCTGAGTGACCATGTTTTCCATTTACAGGCAAGCCTGGTATAAATATTCATTTAGAAGATCCCCAGTAACCCCCTGGAATATTTTGAGTTGTTTTGTACACCAGACATTGCAGAAGTAATAGCCAGAGAAACAAACTGATATGCCCAAAAATTTTTAGAAAACTAAAATCTAGGACCTATCGCTCAGCTGGTATTGAAAACTACATAATTATAAAGTATTGACAGTATCTGCTACTTAAGTTGCTGTGATGTTTGGAAGAACAGTTGAGTTCACTCATCCACACTAGCCTTGAGCTTCAGCCAACACAGCAATAAGAAACTCTGATCCACAGAATAGCAATAAGACAAGCTGGGAGTGTGTGTTTTTGCTAGAGAGTTTTGTCAGCCAACTACTATGATTGTGTTTGATTTCTAAACACTAGACCCCTGTCAGGACCACACATATTGAATGTGAATGACTCGGGCATACATATGAGATCATATAGTCTGAATGAAAATGAAAGTCATCAGTGACAGTGGCGGATATTTTGAGAATAGAGCCAAAGGTACATAATTTTACTAAAAAATACGTATATAAATTTTAATGTAATGGTTATAGAAATGAAAATACAGGTATGTGAAATCTGATAATTTGTCTTTCAGAAGCTTCTTGTTCCATAATTTTATAACGACTGAGATATTGCATTTTAAAAAGGGAGAAAAAATTATAACATTAAACACTGCAGTGACAAATTTAAGTGTCCAGGAGAATTTAGCCACTACAGGAGAGATAAGAACAAGGAAAATAACCACTTGACTGGTTAAGTATATGGAAAAAGCAGTTTTCATATGAAGCATGGAACAGCATTTTGCTATCTTGAAGTATCCAAATGTCCTGTGGCCATCAGAAATATGATTTTATATTCCAGACCTCAGGTTTTCAAGAGAGAGATTTCACTTTGTAAGTTGAAAATGAAGTGTTTGCTCATAATCTTTTCAACTGTTCGTGATACACTAGTAGCACTGGAGTGAACTAAGATTTAGGCAATTAAGTGAATATTGAAAAGTCACAGTGCATACAAATCTGAGTTTGTGTGGAATTTGCTTCTGAACCATGCATGGTAATCCTTGGCATGCCCATCAGACCTGCTTTGGCATCTGTGTTGTGAATTATCTGTTAAATTCTTACAGTTTTCTACATTTTCAGATTTTTTAGGTAAATTGTGTGGTGAAGCATATCTGTAGAGAACTAAGCATAGATTTACAAGAATAGAAAATGTAACTATATTTTTGCTGTTCATGTCTATGAATGACTGTATTCATCAAAGTGCATTCCTCCTGAAGTGCACATACTTTTTTCCTACATACACATTTGAATAAACTCATTTTTGCAAAAAAAAAAACAAAAACAAAAAAAAAGCAATGATTACAGCAGCAGCAACTGCACCCACATTGCGAAATTAGAAACAAAATTTTACACTGAACAGTACCATGTCCATACACATCCATTTTTATTTCATACCAGAGTCCAAAATTTGCTGTAGAATTATGGAATGGTTGTTTTTGTATTTGTATCAGTATGCTGGATTCAATGATAATGAGGAGCTTCATAACTTATGCTCTTTGCCAAGTATAATTAGAATGATTAAGTCAATGAGGGTGAGATGGACAGGGCATGTAGCATGAATGGGGAGAAGAGGAATGCTTATAGGAATTGCTGAGAAAGCCAGAAGGAAAGAGACCACTAGGAAGACCTAGACATAGGTTGGTGGATAATATTAAAATGGATCTTAGAGAGTTAGGATGGGGTGGTGTGGACTGGGTTGATCTGGCTAAGGATGGGGACCAGTGGAGGGCTCTTGTGAATGCGGTAATGAACCTTGGGGTTCCATAAAATGTTGGAAAGTTCTTGAGTAGCTGCACAGCTGGTGGCTTCTCAAGAAGGGCTGAGCTCCATTAAGTTAGTTAGTTAATTAATGTGAGTCAATGACAGTGTTCACTTAGACAAATGTTATTATTCTAGTCTTGAATGAAGGAGTGTCATTTCATACATTTGGCAGTTTGCCCACAACATGGGGAGAGTTGTGATTGCATTGTAAGGTCAGTTATGATATCACAATTGGTGACACTCCACTTAATTTTGTAATGGATATTTATATGTGGAGTACCATAGAAAATTATTGGCAGAAGGTGTTGAATTTTCTAAAATTCACATGGAAGCAAAAGTGTTTTTGAAGTGAATGTTTTTTTGTTCCTATATTTAGCAAGCAGAGTTTAAAATAGCCAGACTGGGGACAGTGTGAAAGAAGCAAGAGACATGAACTACTACACATGAAAGCTGGAAACTATCTTTGCCATGTGGAGATTTTAGACTGTTCAGATTTATTTATTTATTTATTTATTTTGGCCAAATACACTCTATCAGAAAATTATTGTATAGCATGTGCTTAGTGTTTTTACAGTAGTCTTTAGTTGAATGAGAGTGGTCTTCTGCTGGTGCCGAGTGACTGAGTGTAGATAGTTAAATATTTTTGTATGTCTAAAATTGTGTGAGATTGGTCATTACCAACATTTAGCAGTAGGAACAAAGTAAGATATTATAAGAGTTCATACTTTTCTGTTCTCATCTACTTCATTCAGCAGAGTTTTAAGTGTGAGTACAATTTTCTATATTTTGTATGTTGCTGTACATTTCATGCATTAATTTTGTCACCCACTGTATTCTGTTGGTTAATGTGTGTGGCTAACCACAGTTTTTTGATGGAGTGTTCTATTGATTATGTCTTAGAGTGAACCAGTTGCTGTTTTTATATACTTTCACCCTTTCTTACTGCTTCTGTATCAGTAGATGAAGATTAGTTTTGTGTAAAGGGCCCTACAATATAGGCCAGTCTCTGAAACATGGGTCATTTTTAGAATTTTATGTTTTAGATTAGTAGATGAATTCCAAGTAAAGTGACAGAGAAACAACAACATGTCAGTATCGTAGCATTTTAGAACAGTTTGTATTCTAAATTGTGATCAGTGAGTGACAAGTTACTGAGTAAAAGGTAAAGATATCCCTGTGCTTAACTACTTAAGCACTATGCCATGAAGGAGTATGGGGGAGTGGATGTGTAGATTCACATTTTCTTGACCTTGGTACGGCCTGAAGTTGAGTGGTCAGCTTCACACCCCTGGGGAAAGAACCCCAGGTACCCATTGGATAGGAGGTTGGGTGAACCCTAGAGCCGGCCTGGATGACTTAGAGAAGAGAAAATTCTTGACCCTACTGGGACTTGAACTCAGACCCCTCGGTAATCCAGCCCATAGCCAGTCACTATACTGACTACAATATCCCAGCTCCTAACAAGTTATTGGGTAATGTGGTATACTGCTTGACATACATGATTTGTATCCAGATGGTATCAGGTTCAAATCTTGGATGGGGACTGAGGATTTTAATGATTTTCATCAGTCTCACCAGGCAAATGTTTGGACATTACCATAAAATAAACGGTACTTCCTTACACATTTGTATGTCTTATCATACAGTTTTATTTTATTATTTCTCGTGTGATGTTGAATAATCCATGCATCTGTTTATGCATTAAATGACATAATGAAACTTAGTAAGTAGGCTGTTAATTAAACTTCTGAAGAGAAATGGAAGTTGATAGTTATGGCTCTTTGGAACAGCATCTTCACTTGTGATGTGTGTTAGATACTAGTACAAGGTGGTTCAAATATGACCGGGACTGATTTAAAAAAAAAAAAAACTAAACATAATTGCCAAACACTTACTTGCACATGTCAGTCTTCAATGTACTCCCCTCCGGAGTCAACACATTTTTTCCAAAGTTCTGGAAGCATCCTGATGCCCTTTTCAAGAAAGGCTTGTGGTTGGAGGCGTATCCACTCCCGAACAGTCTGGATGATGGCGTCGTCCACAAACCGCATGCCTTGCAAGTCTGATTTGAGCCTTCTGAACAGGTAGAAATCACTTGGGGCCAAATCGGGACTGTACTGCGGATATGTCAGAAGGTTCCATTTCAGTTTCCAGAGGGTTTCCATTGTTGTTTTGGCCATATGGGTGCATGCATTGTCTTGAAGGAAGGCTACCCACTTTCCACATGTCTTCCACTTGGATCAGATCTTTTCCTTCAAGTCTGTTGCCAGGAGGTCTGAGTAATAAGCTTCATTTACTGTTCTGGCATCTGTCAGAAAGTCTACATGGATAACCCCCTGCCAGTCCCAGAAGAACGTTGCCATCACTTTTCCTGCCGAACGGCTCCTTCGTGCTTTCTTGGGTTTGGGAGAACTGGTATGCCGCCACTCGCGTGATGACTGCTGGGCCTCGGGAATGAAGTAGTGCACTCACGTTTCATCGGTGGTCACTATAGACTTCAAAAATGCATCACCTTCATCTTCAAACTGCTGTAGGAGACGACTGGCAGCTTGCATGTGCACCATTTTGTTCACATCCGTCAAAGTGCATGGTACCCACCATGCATTCACCTTGCGATAGTGCAGGTGGTATTTCACAATGTCTTGTACACTACCAATATTGATGGACAGCATTGCTCCAAGTTCCTTGATACTGATGCGCCTATTCTCACGAATAAGCGCATCTGCACAATCAATGTTTGGCTCAGTGACGGATGTTCGCAGCCGATGATCATGCAGTTCATTCTCCACGCGCTCTCTACCCTCTCTGAAGCACTTACATCACTCAAACACACGGGTCCGTGAGAGAGACTCTTCCCCATACTGCTGTTGGAGTCTGTGGTGAATTTCAGCGGGCAGGACGTTTCTCCAACGAGGAATTTGATCACAATGCGTTGTTCCACGCTCCGTGGTACCTTCTGTTCGCTCATCACCCTAGCAACTCCCAGACAGGACTGCACAGGTTCTAACCCTAACAGGAGGGAGGGTGAAGGTTGTGGCTTCACTCTCTCAAGGTTGCACAGCTGCTGCACAGTGCGGCTTGTTTACACACAAATCAGTCCCGGTCATATTTGAACCACCTTGTACATTAAGTCTCATGCAGTAAAGATTCGGTGGAATGTACTCGTAAATTGCAGCAATGCCATCTAGATTGTCTGTACTTAAATTTTATTGTGGAATAATTTTTAGGACTTAACCGTGGTACTTTCCTTCAAGAAAATTATCTCACTGGATTTCTGAGATGATCCCTCTTCAGAAGTAATGCTAAAATGCCAGTAATGTACATTGTTCAGATGTTGGCATTTGTGGGAAGCCTTTGAAATTTAGGCATGAAGATGAAAGTGAAGCTATTTTGAAATATTTTTTTAAATATTGAAGTTAAAAGTGATTATGTTATTGATTTCTGTGAAGAATATAATCATTACAAGGAGATCTGAATGGGCTGACTTATTATTCCTTTTATAAGTAATGGATCATTGTAATTACCACTATGAAACATGTTCTTTATAAAATTTTATTCCATAATAAAGGAGAATATAAATTGATAGTTTCTTTTAGGGTGCGTTATTTTCTCAACAGTATTAATGTTTAGAATGTCATTCTTAAATTTTAAGTTGTTTTCTTTTGATGGAATATTTATGTTAAAAAAACAGAAACACTGGTTACATTATGCCAAATGTGCAAGAAAAAATTGTTCAATGTTACTTTCCTTCTACTTGCTCTTTTGTCTACTCTGCAAAATTTTTTTGTTCTGTCCTTTTATATCTGCATCTTGCTTTTAGATTTTGCCTGCCTTTTTGGGGGGTTTGCAGGTTTCCATTGCTAGGTGAGTTTGCATAACACTGATGTCTCACAGGACAACACTGTAAAATTTTATTTAAAACTTGGAGACAGCATCAGGCAACAGCAAGGGTAATATTATTTTAAGTCTCTTATTAACATGTTACAGAAGTTGAGGATCCTCTGCTGTCAGTAAGCCCAACTGGAAGTATTGACTACTTTGAGACACCTGATTCTCCTGAACCTGAACAGCCACATGATTTGGGAGTAGGATCTGTAGTAGAGGTCACTGTAAGTGGGGAACCACGTTATGGTGTGATCCGCTGGATTGGAATTGTACCTGAAGACAAGAAAGCAAGGAAAGTTGCTGGAATAGAGATGGTTGGTTCAAAATACTTTTTTTAAATATGTTCAAAATTAAATATTTAATACCTTCAGCATGATGTCTAATGTAATACACAGTAATTTGTAGGTGAGTAGGTTAGCTTAGAGGTAATACACGTTACTAGCATTCTGATGGAACGTAGTTCAAATCCATATGGTTTTCCTCTCTATCTTCAAGAAAATGCTAAGATAATGCATTAAATAGCCCAAATATATTTCTTTCATTCACACCATTCTTAACTGTATGAGACAGTACATTGTCAGAGAAATGGAATGATGTAAGTCTGACGGCTGTCATTCACATCTCATGCCTCAGCATTACGTAAACACTGTGGCTGACAATTTACACTGTACTTTACCTTCTCATGGTTAATAAGATAAAAGGGAAGTTAAAATTGTTAATATGGGTAATTGGGCACGAGTAAATCAGTGTTTAAAGTAAAAAAAAAGTAAAGGTATCCCTGTAACAGGCCATGGAGGACCACAAGGTTGTGAGATGTTGAGGCTCCCACATTTTCTAGACAGTCGGCTCACAAATGGCAGTGAGGTTGTCAACCTTATGTGCCAGCTGCCCTTTACCCCCAGGAGTATTCCTGGTACTCATTTCTGTTAGAGACTGAGTCAACCCCAGGGCCATATTGTGGCTGGAAGGATTAGGTAAATTGAAAAAATCCACCTCATCGGGATTCGATCCTGCAACCTTCCGGCTTGTAGCATAGTGCCTCAACCAGCTACGCTACCGTGTGCTCCAAATCAGTGCTTACAGATTTAAAGTATTGTAGCATGTACAGCCATTACTATGCAGTGACTATGAGGTATGCAAAAATGCCAAAGCTGTTACTAGGTAATGTTTGCAAACAAACGTGTCAGCAGAAAAGGGCAGACACCAGTGTATATGTTAAGGCCCCTATAATTTAAGTAATTTGTTTTATAATTTATTCCATGGAATGTTAAAGACATGTCTGTAGTGTTCTGAGATCTGACAAAAAGTGCTCCAGTGTGGAGATGGTTTATATCTTCTCACAGCATAACTTGCAGAATTCAAATCAATTTTGTCATGGAAGAGTACATACCACACATCACTGATGGGATATTTGAAATAAAGTAGCTGCATCTTAATTACTCTGACATAGCCCTGATGGACAGGCACTCTCAACATACAACTCTTTTATTAACCATCGAACCACAACAAATAGAAAGAATGAGGGCTTCGCTACATATTTCAGCCACTAACAGCCATCATCGGGCAAACACATAACAAACATACACCATTGAACTGTTGTACAATAGATTGGATACAATGTTAAAATACTTTGTGTAAAAATACAATAAGTCAGATTATATAAAAAAACTGGAAGTTATTGTATAAAACAAGATAAAACTTAGTTACTATAGGATTCTGACGATGGTGTATAACACACAGAGATATTGGGTTTTCAGACGATGGATAAAGTCCAAAAACCCAGTATCTCTGAAGATAAAACTTAATTAATGTTATGCAAGATTATACTCCCAACATACATTCACATCTGTAAGCAATCCACGTTGGGAGGTATGGCAGTTCATAACCCTCCCCCACTGGAATACTAATGGGTGCTTGTAAATGTCAGAAATCAAGACATTCATGTGACTCACAATCTAGAAATTTCCTGTATACGACAGTGGAATATGATGCCACAGTACCATGAAGTTCAATTAACATCAGAATGTAGAAGCCAGATATGTAAATTGCAATATATAAATGTAAATAAAAATCTAATAATCGGGTTAGTTAAATTTATTAGGAATGTCTTGATAAACCAGGATCTGGTCATAATACTGAATACTTGAAATTTCTAAAAGTTACTCAAGGATGTAGGCAGAGACTTTTTTGTTTCTGACAAAAAGAAATTGAGATGTGAATTTTTTGAAACATGAAAAAATAATCATATTATGTAATTGCCGGTCATGGTAGCCAAGCAGTTTAAGGCATGCACTGTCTTTGCTCGCTCGGAAGCCGGGATCGTGGGTTCGAATCCCACTGAGGGCATGGATGTTTGTGTGCATTTTTCTGTGTTTGTCTACAGGTAGAGGCCTTGCGATGAGCTGATCACTCGCCCAAGGAGTCCTACCGTATGTGTAAGATCTAGAAAAACCGAAGTGAACGGAGTTCATGGAGGTAGGCCTAGGCCCACTGGCGCTGTAGTGCCAACGAAAAATATTATGTAATTATTAATTTGTTCTTGCTGGCATGCTGTATAGACTGAAGCATTTGAAAGGAAGTAAGAATTATCAGTTTTCTGCAGAACTTTTTGCTGCAAGTAGAAGTGGATGATTTACTTTTAATCTTATTGTCACGTGTAGGGTGTATAACGTGACAAATAACTTTACGCCTTGTTGGTTATAGCGAATTTATTCCACTCGCTCTTACAATCACACAATTTACAATCTGACAATTACTGCCTTCAGCAGTATCACAAATACTAGACTGCAAATGCTGGACTACAACTGAAAGGTTGACTGCCTGGCTAACTCGTAAATGCTGCATTGAGAACTGTGAACTCACTCATGAACTCGTAATTCGAGAACTTGCCGACGGCCACATTATAACTCAACTCGCAGGCATCGCAGCTCTCTTATATAGTGGCTGTGTGTGCCTGTTATGTAGCAATGCTGTTACCTCACGCCGTCTTACGTCACCGTGCGGAGGGGGGATGACGGAGCGCTGACTCACCCGCCGCATCACTGCTGGTGGGGGGGGGGGTTTCCTCAATTGCGCAACATGTCACATTATGTTTACAATTAGTAACCTCCATGGAACTTTTCCAGTCACTTTATTCTCTTCCCAAACAAGGAAGTGGTAAGACAGTGATCTTGTTTTCAGGAAGAAGAGCACTGTGGTTACACAGATGGCACTTTTAATGGACGCAGATATTTTCAATGTAATCCAAGAAAGGCAATGTTTGTTAGCCTTAATATGTGTCAGAAGGATGGCAGATTTCAGGATGTCCATCCAGTACTGAGTGACACAAAGATAAAAGGTAACCAGGAAATATTTATACTTGGAAGTTTGTACTTCAGTAACATTGTTAACTATGCTTTAAAAAGTGTTTCAGAGGTGTAACTATCTGCTGTTTCCATATAGGATATACGAGTATGTATTGTACCTGAAACCTCAATTCATACAAAGGCATTGCAAACCCTTTCCAGAAGAAAATTTAGTCAGACTGAAAAGGAAAGTTATTTTTTCTTGTATTAACTCCTTGAATATATGCATCACAGTTGTTAAGATTTTATCTGTTGCTTTTGGTGGGTAAGATGTTCAGTCATAACAGTCCTCAATATCATGTCTCTCTTTCCTTGACTGTATTTCTTCATTTTTACATGTTTTTTTCCTGTTGTGTCGGTGAGTGAGTGAGAAAATATGTGTACATGTTCATGTGTGTTTTCTTCAGTCTTCTTTAGAACTCATGCTGAGATGTATGTGAGCTTCTAAAGCATATATGTATAATTTTTTATTTAATGTGTGGGAGATTTACCTGGAAAATTATAATAGGTAGATTCTTGTGATTTGTGTTTGTTTGTTGTAGCATTTGGTCAGGTGCAGTGTCCAGTGATTCCTGGTGCAGTTCGACCCATCAGCAGGGAAGGAGATCTTGAAACTCTGTGTGGAAAGTATCGAGGCATCCAGGGTCACCATAATTCTTGTTATTTAGATGCTACTCTCTTTAGCATGTTTACATTTACAAGGTGAGGCTATATAATTAACCATGTTCATATCATTTATGCTTAAGTCAACCAGAACCAACATATGAGAGGAAAGGGTCTGTTTACATTCTTTGAAGTTAACACATTTTTCTTGTTGGTTGTGCATAGTGAATGGAATTTTAATTTTTATAAATATACCTCTGAAATAACTTCCCCGCTCTGGGAATAGTGGAAGACTTTGGACTGTGGATTGCCCTTATAGCAATGGTTTCAATGAATGATGATTGAGAAAATTGAATCAGTGTTTACTTGTAAGATTTGAGGTTTTCGCGGTGGTGTGTACCCAGGGCCACATCCCAGAAGACATCTCTCTTCACAGTGTTTACTTGGTTTGATGGCCCATTATCTGACTTCCAGAAGCAAAATTTGATCCAAAATGCCCAGAGTCTAAGCGCAGAGCATCATCATCTTGCCCCATTTATCACAGTATACCTTCAGCTGACTGAATTTGGATAGTACACTGCTTCATGGAGTCCAGATACTATGCCTAATATAAGAACCCAGCTCTCTAGCATTAATCCCAATATTCAGTGGGCAAACACGTTAGAATTATTCTGCTGTGCATATATACCTAACTTGATTTTGATTGTTGCAAGTTGTACTAATGAGGTCTAAGTGTGTTTGAACTAAACGTGATTAGAGTTATTGGTTTTACAGTGTGTTTGACAGTTTGCTTTTCCGGCCACAAACTGAAAATGATGTGCCTCAGTATCAAGAAGTGCAGAGAGTTTTAAGGGAAGAGATAGTGAATCCTTTACGCCAGAATTTGTATGTGAGGGCAGACAGAGTGATGAAGCTACGAACACTGCTTGAAAATCTGAGTTCTGTCACAGGACTGACAAGTGAAGAGAAAGGTAACTGTTAGAAATGAACTTGCTTTGCAAAGGTGACATTTTGAAAGAACACGTTATTTTCTCTTTGGTAGTACACAGTGGACTTGTGCCAGGAAATTAATTTGAATTGCTTACATTTCTTAGGACTGACCCACACACCTCTTTAATTCTTAATCTATGTTTGTGGATTTCATGACTCATTAAGTTGACACTCTCCAGTCTAAAAATTAGTCTATGCTTGGCTTTTTATCGAAGTCAGGTTTGTAAGATTAACTGATTCCTTGAATATGTTTCAATATTCATATTACAGATCCAGAAGAATTTCTTACTTCGTTAATAGCTCAAATACTTAGAGCTGAGCCTTTCTTGAAACTGAGTTCGGGACAAGAAGCTTATCACTATCAGCTGTTTGTGGAAAAAGATGAAGACCTTGTCCTTCCATCAGTCCAGCAGCTGTTTGAGCAGAGCTTTCTGGCTAGTGACATCAAACTGAAGGAAGTAAGACCAAAGAACTAGACTTTTTACATTGATTTTGGAAATGTGACATGCAGGTGAATGTTCCATATTCCGTATTGAGGGGGTGGGTTTCCCCATGCACTTAGACTGGTTACTGGTTCATTGTGCATCCCTCTTTAATTTCTACTGTCTCCATACCCAACTGGTACTGGTGCTTACTATCAGCCCCATTCTGCCAGCGAGGTTCCAACCTCTTACTGGCAGTGGTATCTAATAGTTAGTCCCTTTCTGTCAGCGAGGTCATCCCTCCTCTGACAGGGGTTCCTAGTCCCTTTCTGCCAGCAAGGTTTCTACCCTCTACTTGGCAGTGGTATCTAATACTTTTAGTCCCTTTCTGTCAGAGAGGTCCCCCCTCCTCTGGCAGTGGTACCTGATACTTCCCCCATCTACCGGAGGAATTGGAAACTACTTGGGCGGGAAACTTGGCCTAATTTTGCTCAGAGGTCTCCTAGAGACATGAGGTTCTTTTACAAGCTGTAAATCTACGACACGGGACCCACTGCTTAAAGTCCCTCCCGGAGGACTTTTTCCCTGAATTTTTCCGCCCTTAAAGATTCCACGACCTCCGCCGGGTTTTTGAACCCACGTACCTTGAGTCATGAGGTGGGAACGTTACCCCTAGACTACGGAGGCCGCTCAGGTGAATGTTAATGTTTGTTCGTTTATTAACAATCAAAGATATTAAATATGTTCAGCATTTGTTAATTTTAGTCACAGTTGAAAAAAAAATCACTCTGGCAGTCATTCAGCCAGATACTTAACTCCTGATTTTCATTTTATCACCGAAATTGCCATGCAGACTGTGTTTTCTTTGGAAGTACACATGTACAAAATTTAAGACATAGAGTATAAATATTTGTTCCCAGCTGTTAGGTGTGTGCTTTAGTATTTCTGATGGAAGAGATCTAAAAAAATATACAACCTGATTGATCTTAAGGGGTATGACATCATGCCAAATGTTATGAAATTTGCTTCAGTGGTATGACACACACATGCAGTGTGAACAGTTGTGTGTTGTTTTTCAATTCAGAAAAAAGGCTTAAAAGAAGTTCCAAATATATTTTCTTTAAAAAGTGTGATGAGTAAGTATTTCTGTTCTAGGTGCCTTCCTGTTTAATTATTCAGATGCCCAGGTTTGGCAAGTCCTTCAAGATGTACCCACGAATCTTGCCTTCTCAGCTTCTAGATGTCACAGACATCATTGAAGACTGTGAGTACATTTACAGAAAAACTTCCCCCTCCCCAGATTTCTGTTTGATGTGACACATGAACAGGTTTGTTATTTTTATTTCAGCTCCTCGGCAGTGCACAGTTTGTGGAAAGCTGGCTGAACTTGAATGCAAGGAATGCTTTGGTGAATTAGGAGCTGGCCTGGAGAGTATGGCATTCTGTGCTAAGTGCCTAGAAAGAGTAAGCTAATTTGAGATTCTGATATCAGAGTTCTGTATTAGTGATACAGTGTAATAATCTGAGATGGAAAATGGGAGTCATTAAAGTGAAACTGTGATATATCTAATATGGCTAGTAATGCGCCACAGGGAAGACCAAGGCATAGGTGGGTGAACAATATTAGACTGGATCTTAGAGAGGTGGGATGAGATGCTATGGATTGGATCGATCTGGCTCAGGATAGGGACCAGTGGAGGGCTTTTGTGAACATGGTAATAAACCTTCGGGTTCCATAAAATTCTGGGAAATTCTTGAGTAGCTGCAGAATTGGCGGCTCCTCCAGAAGGGCTCAGCTCCATGAGTAAGTAAATAATGAGAATGTCATTATAATGAGAAAAAGCAGTAACGATATGTTAATATTACATATTTGGAAATATCGTGCATAAAATGAGGCCAAATATGGTTATGCACAGATAATGATTACTGGAGAAAGGCAGTGTTTATCAGTAATGAACCACCCTATGTCAGGTTTTCTAACATTCTGAACCATAAGTTGGAATAGTTACATGAAAAATTTTTCATAATGCAGTGTTTTGTTTTAGTGGTACTTTTTGTGTAAGTTTTTTATTATATATACAGAACTTTTTTTCCCATACCTCATTAACTCTTAGTTTGTATTATATGACCATCTCATTTTACTATGACTATTTAATTTCTGTCTCATCTTCACCATCAAATATACATGTAGCTCATTACTCAGTGTCTTTTCGCTGTTTGTTTCTGTGCACAGTGTCATCCTGACCTGTAATAATTTTAAAACCAGGTGTTTTTTATACATATTTATTTTATTTTTCAATATCTCTGTATGTTATAACTGGTTGTTTACCATTAATACTACATAAGTCATGCCTCCTGAATATAAATATGTGGACATGCATTTACCTATGTATTTTGCAGACTCATAGCCATCAGCGACGCACTAGCCATGGATTGCGTCCTCTCTGTGTGCCCATTGAATTCTCTATACTGCAGGACCACTGTCCAGTTCCTCGGTTGTTTATGGAATTGTTTGCTGTGGTGTGCATTGAAACTTCACATTATGTGGCCTTTGTCAAATGTGGCAGTGGTTCTGATGCACCTTGGTGTTTTTTTGATTCCATGGCTGACAGGAAAGGTATGGAAATACATTTCAGTCCATTTCAGTCACCATTATCATAAAACTGCATAAAGACATTTAACCCTTCAGTGTGGGCATTTAAATACCACAGTTGTGAGTGTCCTGTGGTAATACTTTTTAAATGAACATTTAGGTTTTGCTGTAAAATAATTTATTTATCATAACCAGAGCCCAGATTTTGATGACATGTCATCTTTTTTTCCTTGTATCCTACACGATGCTCTTAAATATATAAATCTCGGATATGAGCTGCTGGTTACAGAAATGTAAATTTTATAGGTAATTTTTTTACATTTTTAGGTTTAAGGTCATTTTTTCATTTTTGTTGTAATTTTTTGGTAAATTTTTGGACTTTTAAGGGCATTTCTTGTCATTTTTGGCCAATTTAGGGAATTTTTCTTCATATGTTTTCTGAAATGTGAATAACATGGAAGCAAAGTGTTCTTTCTTTTCTCCTTTAGGTCATTTTTCTGGATTTTTTTGGTCATTTTTTAAATATTTTCAGGTCATCAAAATCTAGGCCCTGCATATTACATTTTTGGGTCATTTTTTAAATATTTTCAGGTCATCAAAATCCGGGCCATGATCATAAATTTTGAGCTATGTGAGATATAATTATGACATTGTCCCAAAAAGATGGATTCATAAGCTTGTTTTATCACATGAGTGATGCTATGAGCAATGGTAGCAACTACATTTCTTCATTCACAGTTCAAAAGAAAGCACCTGTCTGACTCTTCACATGGAAGGGCTTTTATGTGGTTAAAGGATTGTATTGAAATTTCATATTGGTGGCTGCTGAAATATATTGTTTGAACTTAACTGTAACCCATTGTGGATGCCTTCTGATGATGGCCAGTAGCAGCCAAAACATGTAAAAGCAAACTTTTATATTCTCCTATTAAACTTGTTACATTCAATGGAGCTTAATACTCATGGCGGGTTAGTTAGTTAGTTAGTTAGTTAGTTAGTTAGTTATTGGAGAGGGTGGGTTTTCCCATGCACTTAGACCAGTATTGGTCCATTGTGCTTCCCTCTATGATATTCTACCAGTCTCTATACCCTACCGATACTGGTGCGTGCCATCAGTCCCGACTGAGCCAGCGAGTTTGGCCTTTACTGGCTTGGCGGTATCTATGATGCTTCCCCCATCTATCAGAGGTGTTAGAGACTACTGTTGGGCGGGAAATGTCCTTGAATTTTGCTCAGTGACCTCCTTTGTAGATATGAGGTTCTTTTACGTGCCATAAAGCTACGACAGGGGACCCACGGCTTAAAGTCCCTCCCGGAGGACTTGTTCCCTGAATTTTTCTGCCCTTAAAAATTCCACGACCTCTGCCAGGTTTGAACCCGCGTACCACGAGTCATGAGGTGGGAACGTTATCTCTAGACTATGGAGGCTGCTCTCATTCATGGTTTGTCACAGGCTTCCACCACAGTGGCTGAGGTTTGATCCCAGGTCAGGTTATGTGGGATTTGTCATGAAAAATATGACACTGAAGTGGGTTTTCTCCATGTACTTCGGATTCCCCACCCGTTTCTCATTCCACCAACTGTTTTACATTCATTAATCATCCTATCATCCATACTTGTAGTCTTGATACTGACAGTATCATCAAATAATCAACTTAAAGAAAACATCAATTTTAATGTATCAAGCTGCAGAAGTTAGATTCACTCTTTAGTATATGTATCTCTTCAAATCAGCATTCTGTTATAGTTGTAGAGTATAAAAACTCTCCGACAAATTGAGGAATTGCTGTTTGGATGTCCATCCCATCTCCACCAGCCATTTTTTAAGAAAACGTTGTACATTCCTAAATTAGCATAATTGAAAGTATCAAATATTGGAGCACAGAGGAATGCTGCACTTACAATACTTGGCAGTAATTACCAGAGGAAGGGAAGATTGTGTTCATCATCAGTATAATTATTTCTCTCTCTCTCTAGCTCTACAGCCCTTGGGACCTTGGCTGATTTTTTAGTCTCTTAATCCTATACACAATCGGTAGGCCTCCTTGGATGGGGGATCAGCCCATTGCAAGGCTGATACCTACACACAGAACAACACAGACATAATAAATGCACACAGAAAGCCATGCCTTGAGTGGGATTGGAACCCACAACCCCAATATTCAAGCAGGCGAAGACAGTTCATGCCTTAGACTGCGCAGCCACTGTGACCAGCTAGCATAATTATGTTTGAATGGTGAAGAGAATATTCATACATAAGTAAATGAAGTAATTGGATGGTGGAGAAAATTACAGAATGCAGAGCTTCAGTATTTGTTTTATTCACTTAATATTGTTACAGTTATTACATCAAGAATTAAATGGTGGGATATGTAGCATACACGGTGTGTCCAGGATCCATTAGGACTAATTTGTTTAAATTTTGCCCTGCAGTGCCATCTGTTGGCGAGTTGTGGCATTAAGATTCTTGAAGTTTCAGCTGTGGCTGTCTATAATTTCAGAGTGCAAGCATTGGTGCATCATGTGTTCTGACTTTGAATGTAACAGGACTGTTCTGATGCTCTTCAGAAAATGGTGGTTGAACAGAGAGCCAACATCAAATTTTGTTTCACGTTAGGCAAAACAGCTGGAGAAGCGTACAGAATGATGAAAAGTGTGTACGGTAGTGATTGTATGAGTTGCTCGAACATTTTTGGATGGTATACTGTATTTTGTGACAGCAGGGAGGACATTGAAGTCACTCCCCATGCATCAAAAGCCAAGAACAAGTTGCACTGAAGAACATGTGAAAAAAGTGACTGAAATCCTTGCATCAGACAGATGTGTTTCTACAAGACTCATCGAGGAGCTTTTGGGAATACCAAAAAGAACTATGCATCAAATTTTGACTGAGGATTTGGGCAAATGGAAGGTTTGTACGCGGTTTATACCGCTTGCACTGTCAGGCGACGAAAAACATGCCAGAGTGGAACACTGCAAAGACATGTTATGGTTGGCCCAAAGTGATACAAAATTTACAAAATCGATTGTTACTGGTGATGAGACATGGTGTTTTCAATATGAGCCTCTCACAAAGCGGCAGAGTGCAGCGTGGTTGAGCCCAAAGAAGCTGAAACCAAAGAAAGTGCACATGCAAAAGAGTCGAGTAAAGACGCTGCTAACCGTTTTCTTCTATTCCAAAGGAATCATTCACAAGGAATTTCTGCCAGAAGGTCAAACAGTGAATTCTGATCATTATCTCGGAGTCCACAATCATTTGTGGCCGAGAATTCTTTGAATTTGACCTGAATATCGAGAGCAAGATTCCTGGTCATTCCCCCACGACAGTGCCTCACCCCACAAATCGAAGATCGTGCGCGAATTTTTGGCCAGAAAAGGGATCACAGTTCTTGATTATCCTCCGTATTCACTAGATTTTGCTCCAGCAGATTTCTTGTTCCCAAAAGTTAAGTTGGCGATGAAAGGAGACCGTCACAACACCATCCAGGACATCAAAAGGGAATGTACCGCAGTTTAAAATGCAATTCCACAAAAGGAGTACAGTGACTGTTTTCGAAAACTTTTCAATCGATTCCAGCTATGTATTGATTCAGAAGGAGACTATTTTGAATAAGAAGAGTGAAATTCTGAAAATAATTCATATGTTGTATTTTTAGTGAACACAGTCCTAACAGAACCTGGACACACTGTGTGCATGAGTATGATGAGAAATTCATTCAAAATTTGGTAGCATATCTCAAGCAAAAATATTGATTTGGAGACCTAGGCATAGGTAGACAAATAATTTTCATTTCATGCATCCTGTTGTGTTACAATATACAGTCTCTTTATTACAACTGTCACAACACAACAGATATCAAGATCAGTGCCTAGTTTCGGCTGTGCTACATGTTTCGGCTATCAACAGTCATCATCAGGCAAATACCCGGTTAACATATATACACCACTAAACTGCAGTACTAGTAAAATTGGATACAATACTATTGATTATATAGAACACTTGACGTAAAATACAATAAATCAGATTATATAAAACAGAAGTTATAGTATAAAACAAAAATAAAATTCTTAGATTAATGTTTTATATCATCGAATCAGTCGTTGGTTTTGTAATTTCTTTGTGTTCCCACGGACAAATTGGAATATTCCATATATATATATATGTGTGTGTGTGTGTGTTTTGTATATAAAATTGTATAGGAGCCTCATGATGTAGACGTAGTAAATTAATGTTAATTGTTTAGTCGGTGCCTCATCTTACAAAGTATTGTCTGTTCTGTAGGGAATGTAAACAGTGCCGAAACTAGACACTGATCTTGATATTTGTTGTGTTGTGACGGTTGTAATAAAGAGGTTATAGACAAATAATGTTGAAATGGATCTTAGGAAAATAGTGTATTTTTCCAGTTCAGGATGTATTCCAATGGCATGCTTTTAACGAACATGGTAATGAACTGTAGCATTATATAAAACTAGAGGCTTTCTTGACTTACTGAGCAACAGTCAGTTCTTCAAGATAGACCTTGCACGTTATTTACAAAACAGATGTCTAACATTGTTTTTGCAAGTTCGTCAAACAGTTATTTCCATCACTTATCCAGATCATGTCTAGCTTTGCTGCTGCTATAACGACAAGACTTAATCGTGGTTGACCTATTTGTGATAGATCCTTCATAACTAATTTAATGAACTATACAAAGTGTAGATATTACAAAACAGGCACTTGTTTTCCATAGCACATGTGTACAATGTAAGTAAAAATATGTATGCCATTGGAGGTGGGGGCATGCGGTAGCATAGTTGGTTGAGGCACTATGCTACAAGCAGGAAGGTCGCAGGTTCAATTCCTGATGAGGTCATTGGATTTTTTCAATTCACCTAATCCTTCCAGCCACTCTGTGGTCCTGGGGTCAACTCAGCCTCTTTAACAGAAATGAGTACCAGGAATATTCTTGGAATATTCTTGGGGGTAAAGGGCGGCAGGTTCATAAGGCTGCCAACCTCACGGCCATCTATAAGCCAATTGTCTAGAAAATGTGGGAGCCTCGAAGTCTCACAACCCTATGGGCCTCCACGGCCTGTTACAGGGATACCTTTACTTTTATATCATGGGATGTGTATGGAGCTCACGTGGCATGTGCTGTTCTTTCATAGCACTTTCGTATATTTGTTTTTACATCAGCTGGATGCTTTTTTTGGGAGGGGCAGGTTATCAGGAATGCTGGATGTTTCTCATCAGATATAAATGTGATGATTTCAATTTTTCAGGTGAGCAGAATGGGTACAATATTCCTGAAATGGTATCATGTCCAGACCTTCCATATTGGTTGTCTGATGAAGGGGCCCGATCTCTTCGTGAGATGAAGGATGATCGCCAGTTACCTGAACATGCGAAGCGTTTATTGTGTGATGCATACATGTGCATGTACCAGAGCCCTGATGTTATGATGTACAGATAGGAAGGTAATTCGTAACATTTAAACACTGGTTGAGTTTGTGATTTGTAAAATTCATCCTTTTATTTGATATTAAATGAAAATGGTTCTACATAAACTGTTAATACTGTATATCTTGTGAAGAAAGGAGGCTGTTGCAATTTGAGATAGAAATAAAATTCTTTATCATCAACAACAACAACAACAACAACAACAACAAAAACAACAACAAGAGTCTCCAGATTTCCTAATTTCAGTGGGCAGTGTGGAACAAGTGTCTGGTCTTCCAGTTAATATCTGAAACCAGAACATACAGCAGATTTAGTACTGGCTATATACAGGATGTGGACAAAATAATGGAAACACTAAGAAATTGAGGACTAGAATATGTTTGTGTTGACTGTATTGAAAGAACTGTAGTTGACAACATTGAATGTTCTTCCATTTGTTTACACTCTGTAGTGCTCATGACAGTGCATTAGTGATTGTGTTGATTGACAGTCTGCATGAAAGGATCGGAAAATGGGAGACTAGCATGATTTTGAAAGAGGACAGATTGTTGGTGGGCATTTAGGTGGAGCATCTGTGAAAACTGTGACATTCAGTGTATCAAAAGCATCAGTTTCTTAGGTTATATCGGCATACACCAATCATGGGAAGACAGCATCGGTGAAGAGGAGAAATGGGTGAAAATCAACATTGACAGAAAGAGATCATCATACGGATTGTTTAAAAAAATCAGAGAACTGCTGCAGCACAGGTTACAGCAGAACTGAATATTCATCTCGCGAACCTGCTTCCACAAAAACTGTCTGATGTGAGCTTCAGAAATCCAACATTCATGGTAGGGCTGCAATATCTAAACTTGATTACTGAAAGTAATGTTCAGATGCATAAACGATGGTGTCACAACCATAAAACGTGGACATCGGACAACTGGAAAAACACATGATATGGTCAGATGAGTCATCCTTCATGCTTTTCCCTGCATCAGAAAGAGTTTATGTTTGGAGAACATCCAAGGAAGCCTACAATCTGGAATGCCTGGTTTCAGCAGTGAAACAAAGTGGAGGTTATGTGATGGTTTGGGCAGCCATATCATGGTATTCTGTTGGTCCCATTGTTACCCTTCATGGCTAGATTACTCCAAGGGAGTATGTGGATAGGTTGTGTAATCAGGTGCAGGACATGATCCAGATATTTCTGAACAACAATGCAGTTTTCCAAGATGACAGTACCCCCAATCACACAGCTTGAACTGTTCAGTCATTGTTGAAGAGCATGAAGTTGAACTTCAACTTTGTCCCTGGACAGCACAATCACCAAATTTCATCATTGAACCAGTCCCATCTTACACTCTGGTCAGTTTTGGAGAATAGAGTGAGGAACAGATTCCCACCTCTTTAACATCTGTAAAGCAGGTTGAAGATGTTCTTCAAGAAGAATGGTAGAAGATTCTGCTGGAAACGTTTGAAATGTTGGTAAGAGTCCATTCCAAGAAGGATTGTGGCTATATTCAAGGCCAGAGGTGGTCCAACACCATATTAATAAGGAAACATATATAGTATCAGTAGTGTTTCCATTATTTTGTCCAACTCCTGCACTCTCCCCTTACCATAGAGCATTTATATCTCACTTATTGTACCGTATGTTCTGGAAGAAAGAAATCATATTCTTACAGTGACTTGGAATTTTACTGTAGCAGCATATAAGTAGTGGAGAATGAAAGCCTGTGATGTTGGGTCATGTCACAGATTTCATCGGTAGAGAGCATCAGTGTGACGTGAAACAAAGCGCGTGACTATATTTCACTGTAGCCAGTAATACACATTCTCATGATTTGAATTTTTTTTTTAATTGTATGTTGGAGATTTACATTTTAAGGAATTTTTGTAGGCTTGCACTTGCACTTGTTCATTCATTCACATAGGACTTTCTCGAATATAAGTAGAGAGAGGCTGCACATTGCATCATGTTTAGTTGTTGAATCTGATGTCACTGAGACTGATTGCCAGGAGACAGTATTCTCTTTCCTTAGCTGGTACATTTGGCAGCTGTAAAGACAGCTTGTGTAGATTCGAGCAGAATGATTGCCAAGGATACCTTAACAGAATTTAAGTCTTGATGGAGTGAGGTAAAGGAGCCAGGGTGGCGTAGTTGGCTCTTTCTGTACTTTACATGAAAGAAAATGTGAATGGATGGAATTAAGTTTGGAAAGGTAACTATAATGTGGCAGCTGTCAGGTTATTAGAGTTGTTAAAATGCTGGAAATGGCATGTTATGGCTCCCATTCTTCATTTGCTCTATTTCATAAACTGACTTAATTCTCACAAAATTTTTGTTCTTCTCTGCAGAAAAGAGAGGCCGGCCCCCCTGCAAAGTGACTCTTTCATGACAGCAACATTTTAGTCAGTTGTTCAATGCAGTTAACATTTTCACTGTGGAACCTTTAGATCAAATATGTTTCAGATTATACAGGTATACGAGGGGGGACCCAAAAATAACCGGAAACGACCTGTTGCGCGCGCTTTGTAGTTACGAGTTGTGCTGCTAGGTGGTGTTAGCTGGGGGTCTCCCGCGACTGTTAGTGAGCTGGCGTCAGTCTGAGTTAAGTGGTTTGTCTGTGGTGCTCTGTTGTGTGCGTTCCTGTTTCAACCCTTTGGCGATTAGTGAGATGGCCGACCAGAAGGAACAAAGAGTGTGCGTGAAATTTTGCTTTCTGTTAGGGAAAACTGCAGCCGAGACTGTTGGGATGCTTCGGCAAGCCTTTAATGATGATGCTTTGGGGAAATCACAGGTCTACGAGTGGTTTTCCCGTTTCAAATCTGGCAACATGTCAACAGAAGACATGCCACGCCCCGGGCGTCCTTCGACAGGAAGAAATGACGAAAACATTGCCAAAATCAAACGTGCAATTGATGAAGATCGTCGAAAGACCATTGACCAACTTTCTGAGGAAACGAACATCTCATGGAGCACGGTCCAGCGAATTTTAACCGAAGGTTTGCACATGAGACGGGTGTCTGCAAAATTTGTTCCTCGCTTGCTCGGAGATGACCAAAGAGAAAACCGCGTGAATGTTTGCCACGACTTGAAGAGTGAAGTGCAGTTTTCCCTAACAGAAAGCAATATTTCACGCACACTCTTTGTTCCTTCTGGTCGGCCATCTCACTAATCGCCAAAGGGTTGAAACAGGAACGCACACAACAGAGCACCACAGACAAACCACATAACTCAGACTGACGCCACCTCACTAACAGTCGCGGGAGACCCCCAGCTAACACCACCTAGCAGCACAACTTGTAACTACAAAGCATGCGCACGCAACAGGTCATTTCCGGTTATTTTTGGGTCCCCCTTCATATTAACTTACATTTTTCCATTAACTTTTCTTTTACTTTGTTTGGCAGGAATTGTAACTTCTTGTGCAACCATATGCATAGGGATCATGGAAATATGTCAGAGTGTTGCTTTTGGAATGATCCAAGACATTGTCCATTATACCAGTGAAAATTTTGCTTGCCACATCATGGATTTCTAGCTTATACTCTGAAATATCTGCTGTATTTAAATGCTGGTTATAATGTATTTTGCAAAACAGTTTCAGTCAGGAAAGATCAGTGAATAAATGAAAATGGAAGTAGATAGTGTCTAATGAACATACTACTCTTTAGCAGTGATCAAATTTCTAAGCAGTTTATTTCATTTATAAGTTTAACCTCGTCGGAAGGTTGCGGGTTCAATTTCCAATGTCACTGGATTTTTCAAGTAACCTAAACCTCCCAGCCACACTATGGCCCTGGGGTCGACTCAGCCTCTAACAGAAAGGAGTACCAGGAATCTTCATGGGGGTAAGGGTGGCTGGCCTGTAGGGCCGACAACCTCATCATCATCTGTGAGTCAATTGTCTAGAAGATGTAGGAGCCTCAACATCTCACAACCCTATGGGCCTCCACAGCCTGTTACAGGGATAGCTTTACCTTTAGCTTTATAAGTTTAATTGAAGCACAGAGTATTCAAATCCCCATTATGCTTCCTGGTTAGTACTATAATTAGGCTTAAATATATTTTGTGCATAAAACCAGAGATAATCATGCCTTCACTCTGCTTGTCAGTACTAACCAAATGAAAGCATATGTAATCTTAATACACATTGTTTCTGTTACGTGAGATTCCTACAGTCACTGCCCGTTTTGAAACTTGTTGATTTATTTTAAATATTCCGAAAGAGAATATAAGTAACTGACACCAGTACAAACCTTCAGACTATATAATATGTAATAAAATGCCCCCGTGTTCCAGGCATATTTTATTCTTCTAACATACTTAATGTGGTGAATGTATAGCTAAATGATATTCGAATACTCTGTCATTTTCCAATGTTTGGGTATTTACAGTGCTTCAATACTGTTAACACACTGATGGAACCTTTAAATATGGAAGGTTAAATTTTGCACAGAACTCACAGCATAATTGCATTATCAGAACCATGAAGAAGTACTTCAATTTTCCATAGAACATCACAATTAGCATCTCAAATGTCCGTATGTTTTTAATGTCAAAGTACATATACTGTCCAAAAATCAAATGGTAGTACAAACAAAGGGAAGAACTCATGCTTCCATATATAGGGAGGTTTGGCAGAAATTATAACAAGGTACAGCAAATAAATTCCAGGATTCAATTTTATTAGTGCATATTCTGGATGGCTCAGGAATGAGGGCTTGATTCCTGACAGAAGCATAAGATCTTTCTCTTCTCGACACTGTTCAGATTGTTTCTGGGGCCTACCCAGCCGCTGTAGTGGATGCGGTGAAATGATTGGAGCATGAAACTGGCCACTTCCATCTAGTTCTGATAGTAAGAATATGTGGATCTATACCTCCATGCTTCCTGTCTCAAGTCATGGTGCTTAATTAAGCAAGGGGACAGATGTGTACAAGACAATATCATTAAGGCCCACTTCTTATGGAAAGTAGGCAAAAACAGGAAATTTAAATCTTAGGGTGCCTCTAAAATACGTTCATAGAAACATCTAAAACGATAAACTGGAAAATGAGGAAACAAGAACGTTGAAAAAAGGAGTATGTAGATGAGTAATGAGTAATTTCTTGAATGAGAACATATTCTTCCTTAAGTCTGTCATTAAGAAACTGATGGAAGTAAGAAGTTTAGTATAGGCTGTCTAAAGTGGGTAATAGCCCAGACTTTGTGACTTGTCATGCAAAACAGTGTTGTACAGAAATGGTAAAGGACAGATTTTATGTTCACTAGCCTGTTCCAGAACTTCAGTTATCTGTCACAGGGTGCTCAAAAACATGACCAAAAAAATTTAAGTCTTCTAAACCATGAGTTTAGAGACAAATATGGAAGGGAACAGGAATGTCTGTTTTAACCAAGTGTAGAGTGCTTACTTTTAACAAGAAACTAAAGTGAATGAGAAAGTACATACTTTATTCTAAACATGCCCACTTTTTTGTGGTGCACACCAATAAATTTAGTCTGCTTTTAATTTCTAGTCATGTTAAATGTCAAAAGAGATACTTCATGTGGTACTTTTTAAAGGAAACTTGGTAATATAAACAAAATTCTTTATTACTTGAAAATTAATCTTTACACAATTACTGAATCATCAAAATACAGTACATGGTTAATACTACAATCTGAAAGGACAGTGAATTGAAGGCATAAGATAGCACATTATTTGTACATTGTAATCATTCAATCTTCAGTACTTAAGAAATGTACTGAAACCACAGGTAATTCTGAAACAAAATGCATGTAAAAATAAATCATCCATTTATAAACACGTATCACTTGAATCTACATTGTAATAACAGGAAATATGTAAATAATGCCTTCTAAACCATATTGCACCTTCCAAATATGCACCAATATGGAAAACTGATGTTAAGAAGTAACAGAACAAAATGTCATATGCCTGAACTGAACTGGCTGTGCAAATGCTGCTTTTAAGGGCTCCAATTTCTGTTTACAAACCATGTATTTTTTTTATTTTTCTTACAAGCAACTCATATGAAAAAAATGTTAATGTTTTAACATTAGTGATCTGCATTTCCTACAGCGTTAATAGCCATCTTTGCACAATCAACAAGATCTAATTTTTGTATAATAGCGTTGTGTTTAATAAAAAAATATTATAGAGGATCCTTATTAATATTTGCAACTCAACAATACTACCACTATGATCATTTTGTTAATATTATAATACTAATTGAAGCTAAATGTTCATATACTGAAATAATGTTGGGTAACAGATCAAAATGTCAGAGTTAAACTTTTGTTATAGCATAACTTTGGATGGTATGAATTATGTAATGAAATGTCAGTTTTGTGATATCACATCACTAAATTGTAAAATAAACACAATAGTTGCAATGTATATTCATTCTCTATAAAAAGGGAATGACCACTGTACTCACAGGGAGTCGCAATGCTGTTAAACACTTAATAGCTTAAGTACAGTTCCATGATATTAAAATACCAGTAGATTTGTACAGGCAGTCTCATTCCTAGAGTTATCCACTGGTGTGCAATAGATTTGGGGTCTATTCATAGGCATCGTGGTTTTTATGCTAGTAAATTCAGTTGATTATAATAAACATTTTGCAAATTTTCCTCCATTGCTTGACTGAAGAAAAGTTTGCATATTTTTTATGGAATAATGTGACAGTAAAACTCCGTTATTATGCACGTGTCAGGAGACGGGATGAAGACCTGGGTTATTGGCAACTTGCTGCATTTCATAAAATTTCCCAGATAAATATTTTTTTAGCATGGAAATTTTCGTCTATAACATATTTATCATATTTACATTTAAACACATGCCTTATTTAATCAGTGTTTTTTTTTTAATTTACCAGTATTTTCTTCTGGCATAACAGCTGATGGCATTTCTTCATCATGTACATCTCAAATGTTTTGTAAATGTAAAAGATGGAGATGATCACAATCACTGTCTTTCCATTCAATTCATCATTTCACCAGTGCTATTCAATGATTTGCTAATTTCAGGGGTCTCAAGCCCACACATTTCTTCATTTTTGCTGTCATCTTGTTATTTCAAACATGCCACACTGATCGAACTCTGGAGGGCTTTTCCATAGCGCATGTAGAGAAGCATCGGTGTCTCCTCTGCAAATCACTGATCATGTTCAAGGACATATTACCCACTCAGAGCATCCAAGTTGTTTACGAATAAAAGAATTGCAGGAAATTTTAAACGAATCTGTTTACAAATAATATACAGGGTGTTTCACGACTTTAGGGCATAACTGCAGGAGGTGATTTCTTAGGTCTTTGTGATCAAAAAAGTTCATATAAACATGTATCCGATTTTGGATGGTTACGGAGTTATGACCGTTTTAAACTCAGAATAGAAGGTAACGATTACTGACAATACACGGAACAAAATAATAAACCAGCATAATACATGATACATTTAAAGTGTGAATGTAAAGTTAACTTCGTGGAATTACCTTTAATTTGAATTTATTGGTGCTTAAAGCTGATTTTCGAAAATTCCACCACTGGCCGCAACACAGGCTGCTGCTTGGTTGTGAACCGTGCCGGACATACCAACCCACCACACCTTAGGTAGCTCTCAAGTGTCGAGATAGCGAGAACGCTCTGTCTGTAGCTGGCTAAAAATAGCGACCCGCCAGCTGACAGACGCAGTTCACGCGAGGGATTGTACGGGAATGAAAAAAGGGTCATAACTCCGTAACTACAAAATCGGACACATGTTTATATGAACTTTTTTGATCACAAAGACCTAGGAAATCACCTCATGCAGTTATGCCCTAAAGTCGTGAAACACCCTGTATATATAATAATATTAATATAATTAAGAAATTAACTCCACGTGTCACAAAATACATCACTGTGAAACATGTCTGAATGTATAAGGGGTGGGCCTTCTTGGCCCTAGCACCGCGACCACAGTGATCTATTGTGCCTATGAAACATGTTTACATATTGGAAGAGGCAATTTTAATAGATAATCCAAAAGTACAACAATACTGCTGAATATTCTTTTCAATTCGAACAGTTTCTCAAATAGTGACACTGATGCCAGGTATCTTCTCTCTGCATGACTGCTTGCGTGTTGGCAAATATTTGCATAATAAAAACAAGCAAGGCAACAAGGGTTCCAGGGCCAATACTGTGACATGAAACAGTGTTTATTCATGTAATTTACTGTTACCAAACAATATATCCACATTATGTTTGATCTCTTTTATGAAGGATATTTGGCAAGTAAAGATACAAAGTCCAGAAAATATTTGTAAAGCATTTTTTGGGGGGGAGGGCACTTTTACAACACACCTTTATCTACTTTTCAGCATAAGTCACCATAGATCACAATGCACTTAGTGTGCCTGGGAATGAGTTTTTTATTCCAGCATCGTAGAAATCTCCACCTGCTCTCTCAGCCATGAAGAACAGTTCTTAACACTTCTGGACATTGTTGATGAAGTTCAGCAATGGTTAAACATCTGTCAGCATGAATGTTTTCATCCAATTTTTGGACAATTTCATCAGTGACAATGGATGGCCTTCCACTCCTTATTTCATCGTGAACATCACTTCTTCCTGCTTAAAATTCATGACACCATTTTGCCACGTTTTGCCTGTTCATATTATATTCACCATATACAGAAACAAGCTGGCAATGAATTTCAGCAGCAGTTTCTCCTTTTGCATGAAGAAATAACATTACTGCCCAAAACTCACATTTGGCTGGATTTTGAATCAACATGGCCCTGTCATACGGTTCCTATCTCACATGGCAGCACCGCCATTTCCAAAAAAAATAAATATCCCTTGCACTTTTACTGGGCTTGTATCTTTACTTTCCAAATATCCCTCGTAACATAAGCAATAAAGGGTCTGATTCAAGTTTTGAACAATCCTGTATATTAAAGAGAATGTACATATTTTTAGAACTGTTCTAACAGCTCTTTATTTCAAATCACATTAAGAGTAACTTTTAGTCTATCATGGAACTGTCCACAGTATGATAAAAGAAACAAATTGTATACTACATAAATCTGTTTAGTTTCCTAGAATGGTGAACGTATAAGCTCAGCAAAATGTATAGATTGAAGGCCTTGAAAATTCCTCTCCAAATAATGTTATTTTACAATGCTTCAACAATCCAACATCCTCTTGTGATTCAAATGAAAATGAATTATTTACAATGCTAAAAAATTAAAACATTTGATATATGTATATGTTGGAATCATAAAAGAATCTATATTTAGTGATAAAACTATGATCAAAATGTTGACTATGACATGGTGAAGCAGAATGGTAAGGAATTAAGGCCTCCTACAAGTCTTCATCCATGTATAAGGTGGTAACACATATATGTTAATGATCTCTGCAGACCTGGCAAATGAAAAACGAAAAATAAGAAATCACATATAATGTAAATCAGGTGTTCATAGCTGTAAATTTTGTACAATTAACTGCACATTCCAGACTATTAGTTGCACTGTGTAACCGTCCAAACCTTTTAATACTCTTTAATGGACGCGTGTTCCTTTTCAGCCATTTCAATAGAGTGACTGATTTATAAAGGTGACCCATCCATTAAGAAGTTGACATGCTTTTCGCATTTATACAGGAACAACTTATTTTGTTACCTGGACCTTGGGTGACCGTTAGAGGGTCGAGGCAATTATGAAAAGGATATGTTTGTTGTCTCCCCTAAACTAAGACATAAGTGCTTTCACATGTAGGGTCCCGGGTTCAAAATCTCTGGATCTCTTCATTCTCAAAGTTAGTAATGTGATTGTCTTGTACTGATGGTATCATGATTTGGCAGTTAAAATCAGCCATTAGAAACTATTCTTCTCTGGGGAGAAAGGCCGTCTCCAAATCCTATACAGTGGATGAAGTGACGCTCCCGCAGAATAGAAGCAGAAGCACTTGGCGTTCAGAATTCATCAGAGACAGACGTATTGAACTTGGCGTTCAGAATTCATCAGAGACAGACGTATCGGACTTGGCACTTAGAATTCACCAGAGGCAGACGTCATTTACCTGCTCTCTCTAAGTTTATCTAAATTTAACAGTATTTATTTAGCTCGATTAATCTTTGGCACATTCCTCCCTACTCGCCGATAAAGTTATAGTTTGATTCTGAAATAAACAATATTGTGATTAAGCAGAAATAGAGTATTTATTTGTATCAGTGGACTAGTTTAAATGTGCAGTCTCCGCGTTGCCCCAGTTATTACCGTGGCACAACCCTGAGAAGAGTCAAAAGTGTTCTACCGAAGCGGGCAAACAAATAAATAAACATAAAGATAAATAGGCAACGGTCACGAGAAGTGGTGAGCAGCGGTTGCGAGAAGTGACGGCCGTGTGCGGTTGTAACTGACCCTTCAAAATGCAGAAATCAGGGAAAAAATTATAGTTGCCAGTACTGCATTTGGCCATGTTATAGTCTTAAGAAACAAAATTAAAGTGCAAAGTAAGAATATGTAATTTTAAATCCCTTAGCTGCTGATATAAAGTTCCAAAATGTGTAATAGTGCCATGTAAAGCATTGATGATTCCAGATTTTTACAGATTCTTTGCAAAAGTATATAAGAATATACTCACAATGGGAAGGCTATATACATCTGTCTTTCATCTCAAAAATTGTGATACAGATGAGGGTCTACACCAAATGCATCAGACAAATTTAACTGTGGTCCAATCTTTTCTTTACAATAAACAAACGCTGAAGTTTATCAGTTTTCTCCAGAACTTCTCACTGTACAAAATATTTATANGAAGCAGAAGCACTTGGCGTTCAGAATTCATCAGAGACAGACGTATTGAACTTGGCACTTAGAATTCACCAGAGGCAGACGTCATTTACCTGCTCTCTCTAAGTTTATCTAAATTTAACAGTATTTATTTGGCTCGATTAATCTTTGGCACATTACTCCCTACTCGCCGATAAAGTTATATTTGATTCTGAAATAAACAATATTGTGATTAAGCAGAAATAGAGTATTTATTTGTATCAGTGGACTAGTTTTAAATGTGCAGTCTCCGCGTTGCCCCAGTTATTACCGTGGCACAACCCTGAAAAGAGTCGAAAGTGTTCTACCGAAGCGGGCAAACAAATAAATAAACATAAAGATAAATAGGCAACGGTCACGAGAAGTGGTGAGCAGCGGTTGCGAGAAGTGACGGCCGTGTGCGGTTGTAACTGACCCTTCAAAATGCAGAAATCAGGGAAAAAATTATAGTTGCCAGTACTGCATTTGGCCATGTTATAGTCTTAAGAAACAAAATTAAAGTGCAAAGTAAGAATATGTAATTTTAAATCCCTTAGCTGCTGATATAAAGTTCAGAAATGTGTAATAGTGCCATGTAAAGCATTGATGATTCCAGATTTTTACAGATTCTTTGCAAAAGTATATAAGAATATACTCACAATGGGAAGGCTATATACATCTGTCTTTCATCTCAAAAATTGTGATACAGATGAGGGTCTACACCAAATGCATCAGACAAATTTAACTGTGGTCCAATCTTTTCTTTACAATAAACAAACGCTGAAGTTTATCAGTTTTCTCCAGAACTTCTCACTGTACAAAATATTTATAACAAAATATAGAGCTCATTAAGGTCTAAAACTATCGATTTTTTTTAACAAAATGCAAGGAAAAATAATTTCTGATTCTCAGGCAGAGTGGTATCTAGTATGAAACACCTTTCCATTCTCGTCAAATATGAAACTGGCCATAACCAACTCCTGACCTACTTTTCTTACTTCAATAACATCCATTTTCTAATCATGTTTCATATTATCTAATTTAATCCAGTTTGTAGCCTTTTCTTCTGAAGTTCAAATATTCACTTTACTCATATTTTGGCTGAAGCCACCATCTAACGTTTCTGCGATAGGTATGCTTTCCTCAGCTATTTCTGTCAACCCCTTCTCCTGCTTTTGTTATTAACAATCAAAATTTCAGTTGTTAGAAGATCAATCTTTCACTACTTTGTTTTCAGTGTTCTTGTACTCACTCATCGCTTTGAGCTCTCTCTCACAGCCCCCACCCTTCAACCCTCAAGTACGTCCTGCTGTAGTACAACTAATATTTTGTGACAAATAGTGGTCTACTTACATATACTTTTAATATGTCTCATCTTCATCTTCATCCATAGCAAAGTCACTACTAAAGCCAGACTCCAGTGGGTAGAAGGGGCTATTTAATATAACAAATATATTAGAAACTATAATAGCAATTTGCTGTACTAACTATATTAGTGTACAAACAGAAAGTTAAGTAATGATACCATCCCGGGAATATAATCATTCAGTATATTTCCCAAGTCTTGATCCACTGCAAATTGCAGTAAATCCAAATTATGATCAGATCATTGTGTACATGATATACAGCTTCATTATACCAGGTTTTAATCTTGCCAGTCATGTATGCATACATTCTCATTCTTACCAATAATTTGACTTATTGTCATCAAGCCCCCCATTTAAGGGTCTGTTATGGGCTTTCCTGTGTGAGATACACTGCACTTCCTATCACCATGAATAAACATGATGGTATATGTAAATGTAACCATAATACAAGTTTATTATAGGACTTTTGTATGTGGTGATTTGTGTCATTCATGTCTTTTTTTAATCAAAATGTCACACATACACTATCGATTTTAAACATCAAGATTCACTAAATGTTTTCAATGTGTAATGCTGACCACTGACCCAGTTCTGATCAAGAAGTGAAACGATTTCAAATTTTCTAAATGAAATTTATTTCTCAATACAGTATATTAAATTGACACAGTCTCGAAAACTCAGTTTTATTCAAAACTTCTGTATTGTATAAAATTAAATTAATTAGAAATCATTCCAGACTGAAATGATCTGTAATTATAACAATGATGCAATGTGAAGTGCTGTTTTTGTTTATTGCTGCACTGCTTGTATGTTCATTTCCTATTCTTGCAGAGCTTAACATGAGTGCAAAGAAATAATTACATATGATGTGCAAATAGTTTATGAGTAAAGATGTACAAACAAGACACAAGTGTGCAGAAATAAAAGCAAAACTGTAGAATAAACTCTCACTTATCCATTGCAGAGCATTTTAAATTAGCAGACTATAAGCTAGACAGCTCAGTTGATAAAGCCCAGTATATACCAATGGCCCTTTTCCTAGGAGTAATGACACAGCATGAAGCTGACCACTCACTTCATTAGTGCTGATATTAAGAAAGATTATGAATTTGCTCCCACATGCCTTTGAAGGCAGAGAATAGCTTATACAGTATCACTTTATTAATCTAAAAGTGTGAGAATGATGAATGTGGACTTCCTGAATTGGCTTCATTTTAAAACATAAGTTCATGATTCTGAGCATTACAGTGAGTAAACAGCATGATATGAGTTAAGAAATTGGCTATCCTGACAAATTTATGTGTGGTTTCCCTCCATCCTTTGGGGCAAGATGATCGCTTCCATATCCTTCCTAACATAATTCATAAACATTATGTAATTTCTCATCCAATTCCAGTGTAACCAATGCAACTGGTAGAGTGCCATTCAAGAAACCAAGAAACATATCATGTGATACAGGAAACTGTACTCTTTTTATAAAAACTGATGTCTTCTATGTCACTAATCTCTAGATCAAAAGATGATTCAAGGCAACTTTATGATGCCATGTCAAGGCTCCAGAAATACAACTTAGATCTAAAAAACCGTTTATGGAAAATATTTGCCCACAGTCTATCAGATGTTTCAATACAAATAATTTACTTGTCATCAGTCTCTAATAACATGCCTGTGGTGAGTGGATGACCATATTTCTGGCACATCACGTTGAGCAATTCATGTAAGTGGCAGAGAACTTTCTACATGTGAGCGAGTTCCGAGTTTTCGAAACTGAATCAAGAAAAAATATTCTTGATAGCAATTCCAGCGGGTTTTTTTTTTTTCTGAACTTCAAGAATTTTCTGATAGCTGCTTTCACTTTGCATATTGGGGGCATGTCAAAAGGCACAGATATTATATCTGCCTGAATGGAAGATGAGTTCCTTCGGATCTATAGTTATCGTCTTGAATTTGAATAATATCCATAAAAGATGTTTTTAATCTGGTTTAAGCTTTTAGCATGCCCATAGTAGAGACTGCATCTTGCACTACTGTACTATGTGAGATATGCAAGCGAGAGAAAAAATGTTTCAAGGTCAGAAGCTTCAAGATGCCACGAGGTTGCCCAGAGTACCATAAAAGTTATGAAACAAAAGCAGTACTATACCAATTTACAATATCATGAGATTCTGTGCTAACACATGTAGTGCTGGATGTAAAAGTGGCAGGACACATTAGGAAAAGAAGTATTAGCAGGAAGGGTAATAATGTTTTATAAAGCATCAAGCACCACAGTTTGTACTTAAAGAATGTGAACTTCACAACTGTGAAGTGACAAGAAAGTATATCTCCAAGGAAAATGGTTGAAGGCCAAAACAGCAGAAGCTGGAAGTCATCAATTCTGCCTGAAAAGTGTCATTTGTACAGATTCAAAGACAGCCTGGAATGTCAGTCTTGTGCAACACTGTTGCTCAACAAGAGGCTGAAACTGTGTGTCCCCATCAGGATGATGTGTACATGATGCAGAGGAAGAGATCTTTGTCGCAAAGGTCTTCACTTTGCAAGAAGTTGCCACCATACTCCAATGCATTGTTCATAACATGCCAGCATATTTCATTATACCATTCAGGTACACCATCAATGATGTAGGTACAAAATCTGTTGTCATAAAGACATCGGGCCATGAAGTGTCATGAGTGACTGAGCTGGCAGAAAGCATGACACTAACACCATGTGTCAGTGAATTGAAATGACTGTGTCCTTTCTGTAAGAATCTATGGGGCTAGTAATCATGTGTAACTAAAGGATGGAAGACTGGTTACAAGTTGTCTGGAATAGGAGACTGAGAGTATGTTTGAGAAAACAAGAAATGCTTGTGTTGGATGTATGTAGGTAAGTCAGTAAGTTACAAATGGATATAGAACTTAAACAAATAAGAGTACTGATTTGAAAAATGCTTTCATTTTTCTCAACATGAACTCGCTGTACATTGAGGCACTTGCCCCATCATTTCACAAGCCCCTGAAAACCAGCAGCATAAAATTCTTTGGGCTGCTGCCACCAGGCGGTGTCTGGGATCACGAAGGCATACTGCTCACCGCATTCCAGCCTCAAGGACAAACCGTAAATGCTGACTCCTGCTGTAACATCCTCAGGAAACTTCGTAAGGCCATTCAACGGAAGCGACCAGGACTCCTCACCAAAGGCGTGTTGCTCTTGCATGACAATGCGCTTCCCCATACTGCCAACAAGACAAATGAGATGCTGCAAAATTTCAAGTGGGAAAGTCCTCGAGCATCCTCCGTATAGCCCCGACCTTGCTCCAAGCAACTTCCGTTTGTTTGGCCCTCTTAAACATCATCTTTCAGCTGAACATTTTCCCGACAATGAAGCTGTAGAAAGGGAAGACACCGCCTGGTTCTGACAGCAGCCCAAAGAATTTTATGCTGCTGGTTTTCAGGAGCTTATGAAACGATGGGACAAGTGCTTCTATGTACACGGAGATTATGTTGAGAAATAAAAGCATTTTTCAAACCAGTACTCTTATTTAAGTTCTATATCCATTTGTAACTTACTTATTGACTTACCCTCATATTTGAAGGTTACTGAATTCTAGATGCCTGAAATGTGATTCACCCACTGACTTCTGGCCCTGCAGTCATATCTGGAGGGATGAATTTAAGCTACATGTTCTGATGATCATTTGAAAACAGTTGTATTCCAAATGGATTATTGTAGAGGAACACGTTCAGACACCACAGTGACAATAAACCAAGTGTAAAACCACTATGCCTCTGAAATCAAGACACTGGCAACAGATCTCACCGGAAGTGGTCAGATTATGTAAGAAATGCTGTATATCTGATGAAGTGGATGGAATGGAGGATGAGGAAGAAGTGCAGTGTGCTGGCAATGAACGTGAGACAAGATAGGAATTGTGAATATATTGAAACTGTTATGGTGAACAGAGACTGGTAAAGCTGAATAAAGGCTAGTGACTTCAAGAAGGAAACTAACTCAATAAATTCCATGTATAATACGGTTTTTTAATATTTATTTTGTCTCATAAGTTTACAATAAGATTATGAAATTCGTTCATAAGATTTCTTTCTCTGTGCAGACATGCTTCCTAGTGCACGGACATCTTGTACTCAGGGAAATATGATAAGTGTACTGTAGAAAAGGTAGCTAGTCTTATAAATCATTTCATTGCAGTGAAGAAACTGGTCTATTACAGAAAATTCTCATTTGCATCTCGATTATCAGAAGTTTCCAAAATTCTCATCTTGAACTGAAAGTCATTCTCACACTTGCCTAGAATTTTCCATTCTTTTACACAATACTCTTGTCTTAAAATTATAAATATTTCTCTCTGCATTGAAACCTCTTGAAAATTTTAATTCCATTGTCGTTTGATTAAAGAATTTGTCTAATTTGGTATCAATGAGGTTTTCCTATAATCTCTTTAATATGTAGGTGAGGATTATGTTAAAATAAAAGGATAGTAACTCCATGCTTCTTACATTAGTTCATACTTACTTAATAGCTCTGCAAGTGAAAAATACTATACGTTTCATCTTCTTATTATAAAAGAAATAATTAAAGGACCAAAGGCACCCGTCTTCACCAAATGGATCTGATGCAAGATCGGGATTGTAACTGAAAATACAAGGATTTTCCATAAGTTACAAGTTTCTACACATTCTACAGGTATGAGGAGTTCTTTGTGATTTTGCATCCCCACTAATCTACAGATTCAACTATTCCAGATATTAATCTACTGTAGACAAAACTAAGAAACAATGCAGATATTGAGCTTTACAGAGACAATTTTCTTTCCTTGTATTTTGTTAAAAATACATCATAATGAAAAATGTTTCAAATGAACATTATACACATTAATGAGACCTACATTTTGTCATATACTATTTTTTAGGGTCAACCACTTTTGAGAAATCAGAGTTTGACCTTTATTTCATATAAAATAATTACAGCAGACCAGTACTGACAAATCTGAAATTTGTCAAACAATCTTTGTTGCAGTCCCCAACACAAATTTTCATAAAAATCCACAAAGTAGTTTGGAGGTGAAACAGGGATGGACAGGCATGGCCTACAAATTTTTGTTGTTGCTGTTGCAGTTTGTGTACTGCAGCCACAAAAACATTATACTAACCTGTAGATGTCACAATCATTCATAGAGATTTCATCATCAACAGCAGCCCAGAGCTGGGCTCGCATTGCACGATACTGTTCACCAGCTGTGGCACTCAAGTTGCTGTCTACGGTGTTCATCACCCACTGTTGAACATCGTCAGCATTATATGTCACCTCTTACTAATTCCAAGAATGACATCATGCTCAAATATTACTACATGATTAAATTTAAGGTAACATTGGTAACTAATTAATTAAAGACATAGTTCAAACAAAGGAGATACAGATAATATATGAGGGTTGGAACTTTAATAGGGGCAACACTGCTGTAAAGACGCCATGAAACGGAACCAAATAATGTCACTTATACCACACATTAGTTACATAGCTACCTTACATCAGAGCAAATGGACTCTCCCTTCCCACATCGCGCACATGCGCAGTGACGAGAAGAACAGAGCCTTGTGTTAGCTGGCGGTGTAATATAGTGTTGTCACGATGTTTTCAAAACAGGAACAACGGAGTTGGATAAAGATTGAATGTGCCAGAGGCCATACAGCATGACAGTGTCATCAAGATCTTCAAGAGACTTGCGGGGAATCTACATTGCCTTACAGAACAGTGGCAAGGTGGGTAAAAGTAGTGACAGCGCCCGCTGATGTTACGTCACCGCTGGCAGGGGAGGGGATGTCCTCCATAGCGCAATACGTCATACTAATGAGGGACGCCAAAATGTGGTGTCGGCCAGGTCATCTTAGTGTCAGTGAAGAAGTGTATGCTCTTTCCACGTTACTGGAGAGTGATCGACACCATATGATTCATGAGCTGGCCCAAGAGACAGGATTAGCACATACGACTGTGCTTCACATTCTGAAAGAACGCCTGGGCATGAGAAAAACTGCATCACAATGGGTTCCACATGATTTGACGGAAATGCAGAAATGGCTACGATACGACGCTGCTCGTAACCACTTGGAGCGCTATGGGCTCAAAGGAGAGGCTTTCTTACACCATATCATTATGCTGGATGAGACATGGGCGAAATCATACGAGCCACAAATGAAACACCAATCGAACGAATGGCATCATTATGGTTTACCACAAAAATCCAAAGTTCATCAGAACCCCAGCAATGTGAAAGTTATGGTGATTCTCGTGTATGACTGTGATTGTGCTATCCTAATGCATACCGTTCCCCAACAGCAGACCGTCAATGCGCAGTATTACTGTTCATTTTTGGAACACAACCTGCAACCACCTTTGAAAAAGAAGCAGCGACACTTTCTGCAGAACCCACCCATCATTTTGCAGGACAATGCTTGGCCGGATGCAGCGCAAGCTGTGGCTGATTTGTTCAATCAGTGGGGCTGGGAAGTGCTGTACCATCTGCCATACTCCCCGGACTTAAGCCCTTGTGACTTTGACTTGATTCCTAAGATGAAGGAACCACTTTGTGGCATTCACTTCAGAACTGTTCCAGAGATTCTTCAGGCAGCAGACCGCTCCATTTGAACTATCAACACAACAGGCACTGCTAAAAGTATCCTATGACTTCCACATCGCTGGCAACAGGTTGTACACAATGCTGGTGACTACATTGAAGGACAGTAAAACTTTGAAATATGCATCTATTTTGTATCAGTTGTAAATAAATAGTTGCCACTATTAAAGTTCCAACCCTCATAACAAACACAACTCTTTCTATCATCTCTTCACATGTCCAATTTTTCCCACATTAGATTTACAGAAGTACCTCGACTTACAATGAGTGCAGTTTGTCTTTAAATTACAAATGTAAAAGCAGATTCTGTCCCTGAGTAATTCTAAGCTGGATTCTGGTAGTGACTGAACATCAACCTTCTTAAACAAGTGGGCAAGACATTCTCACAAACTTAAAGATATGATCAGGAATGTCGTAAGACAAGGCCACATGGTACAAGTGTTTCAAGAAAACTGACTGACAATCATTATAAGATGACTGCCAACAGGAGCTCATAATAATGAGATCACTATAGTGATCTCCCAACTGAGAATGTATTTTTGGAACAAGGTGTTATAAATCAGAATACCTGAATATTTGTGTACTATAAACAGCAGTTCTCTCAATCAGTGATTATTTCAGCTGGTACACATACCTGTAAACTTATGTATACTGGCACATCTGTTGATACATTGTATTACTGACCTTGAGGGTAATACTGAGTGTGAGAATACTAGGAGGCATGTTAAAAAAAGGTGCTACTCATAATAACTAGAGAATTTGTGATAAGAAAAACATAAATATCTCTTGTTAAATCCAAGGACACTACTTTAATTTCCTTTATCATTCTCTTTTGTCTGCTGTAGTCACCTTGTTCTACATGCTTTTTACATCTGGTTTAACTCTTAGGTACTTTGTGAGGGCAAAAGGATTCCATAGGTAAAAATATTTTCAAAACACTGTCCCAGGTTTTATCCACTGAAATTTTAATATATTTATAAATGCATGCACTATATTAACAATCTTGCATCCAATTAATACACTGGTATCGTACATCACATTTACAAAATAGTATTACACTGCACAACTGTAGTAATCTGTGCTCACAATGACAGCTGTCTAATATTGAGGGCTGTAGTGATATATGCCACACCAATGCATGGGTATCAATCCATGTGCGTGCACACACAGAGTGGAGGGCATGTCATAACTTGAGCGTTTAGTCACCAGCTTTTCACCATGGATGCCGAGGTTAAATCCCAGGGTAGTCCATGTGGGGTTTCTAGTAGACAAAACAGCATTGGCAAAGGACTTTTTCATGCACTGCAGTTTTCCCCTGCCAATTATCATCATCCTCCAGTGCTCCATACTCATCAATCATCAGGTTCTGGTACCAGAGGCCCATTTGGGGCTCACAGTACCACCAAACTCTTGTCTCACCCCACTCTACAGGTACAGAAGAATGGAAAGACTAATATGAGCTTTATTTACAGGTGTTATTTTTATTCAAAGCTTTACATACCTGCAGGCTGGGCTCCTTACTGAATTCATGACTTTTTGCATCAGAGAAGTCATAGTCAGGGTGAAATGCTGCATTAAGTGTGGCAATGAGGTAGAATAATGTCTTACGGCTGATGGTGTCACACAGTGGGCCATCCTCATCACCAGAAACACTCTGACTGTAAACAAATGAAACTGCATTAACTGGATACAAGAGAAAAGGTAATGAAACCGACATGTCATAAGTCAGCCACATGCACTGCACTATCCCAGTACTAACCAGATTTATCTAACGGGGTAGTCATTTAAGAAACATGAACTGCATAGATAAACTTGTTTTTCACCTGTTGTTACGCAGAACACCGTAAACAGTTGTTCCATGACTTAGTAAAAGCTGCAAACCACATGCTGTCACATAATGGGGATAATGAGAGCTCATTTCTTTTCCCATGTGTCAGGAAAAAGACGGGCTAAAATGAACTCTAGTATCAAATAGTTTCAATGCTTTCAAATAGTTCAATTACAAAGGGAACTTCTTTAAAAGAACACATGTGTGTGGCAGATTGAGTTTTCGGGCCATTTTAATGTAATTCAGCTCCCTATTTCAAGACCACCCCTATGCCTGACAAGTGGTCATGCCTGGTCTTTACCAAATCCCCCTCTAAAAAACCATCTCACAACAGAAATTCCTGTCCTTGACCTCTGGGGTCACCTGTGCTATGAAGAACAATGCAGGTTACATATCTAAGACCACCCCTCCCCCTGTATGCCCACCAATGGATTAGTGCTCCCAGCTATGCGTCTCTATATACAAGGTGTGTCCCAAAAGTCATGAAATATATTTCTTTCCCGCGATCCTACTGGTCGGAGTGTGCTGGAACCGGTTGGGTTGGGGGGGGCCTTTAGCTTCACAGCGCGCCCAAGGTCAGTCTGCTCGAGCATCGGAGGCGTCAGTATCGCTGAGTTAGTGCACCTGTGTTTTGTGACCACATCACGGCGCGCGATGGTGGATACTTTCGAACAACGTTGGGCGGTCAAGTTCTGCACAAAGCTCAACAAAAAAGCTGCCAAAACTCACGAACTGCTTAAGCAAGCCTACGGGGAGTCTGCTCTATCATATGGCACACCTTGGCTTCTGCGAAACTGAAGAAGGCGAAGATGAGCAAATCCAAAGTGAAAACAATGCTCATCTTTTTTGATGCCAAGGGTGTGGTCCACAAAGAGTTTTTACCCCAAGGACAGACCGTCAATGCTCCCTACTACGTGGATGTTCTAGAAAGATTAAGGAAAAGGGTCAT